AATCATCATTACCACATATTCAATCATCATATAAAAAAACAGTTACACTTAAACCACGCACTCCTCAAAAAGCACAACAAGGATATGATCGTTCTGCCCATGAAGCCTTAGTTAAGGAATATAATATTCCTGCTCCCTCTAATGGTTGTGCATTATCATCAAATAATATTGACAATAATCAATCCATCTTTGATATTATTCTCATGCTTATTAAAGTGTTATCGCAATCGAAAATGATACAAACAACTTTACCACCGTCCAACGATGCCATTTACAATGTATTTTCTCAATTATTAACTTCTCACAATGGATTACAAAGTCCTAATAATTCAGTGGAACTGTCGTAGCATAACAAACAAGAAATCAGACTTATTTTATTTGATTAATAAATATAATCCTTTTATAATAGCTCTCCAAGAGACTTGGTTAAAGCCAGGATATCCTTTTAGGATTTCAGGCTTTACAAGTCTCCGTGATGATAGAGCTGACGGATATGGCGGTGTTGCCATATTGGTCAAAAACTCCCTTCCTTTTTCTTCTTTTTCGCTTCCTGTATATAGCGGCATTAATGCAGCTGCTATAATTATAAATGGTATCTGTTTTGTTACTTTATATATTCCTGATCCTACATGCCAAATATATTCACAACTAGAACAATTATTTTCAATTTTACCTAAACCTTTTCTCGTAATGGGCGATTTTAATGCTCAACACCAATCGTGGGGCAGTTCTACTTCTAATTTTTATGGTGGAAAACTCCTGACGATAATTGACACTTACAACTTATGTATTATTAACTCAGATGTACCAACACGTAGAACTGCACCGAATGAAGGGTTTAGTGCTCCTGACATTTCAATATGTTCTTCTGATTTAGCTTCTTCACTGTCGTGGTATCCTCATTCCTCTACTTTCGGAAGCGATCACTTTCCCCTCATTCTTTCTTTTCCAATTTCCATTCCCTCAAGTCGAAAGAGTGGTCCTCGGCTTAAATATAATTTATCAAATGTAGACTGGAATATTTACAAACAATATTTAGATAATAAAATATCGGAGTTACCTATTGTTTACCATGGAAATGAACATCAATGTTGTAATGACTTGATGATAAATATGAAGGAGGTTGCTGATTTATTATTTCCTGTTAAAAATAGTGCTTCAGGGAAAATTCCCTCGCCACCTTGGTGGGACAAAGATTGTACGGAAGCAATTAAAAATCGTAAAGAGGCTGAAAAAAATTATAATAATTACATGACACCAGAAAATTTTGAAATTTACACCGCAGTTTCACGTTCTACTCGAAAACTACTGAAAAAAAGAAATTAGAAGGCTGGAGAAGATTTTGTTCTTCTATCTGTCCAGAAGTTAATTCATCAGTCGTTTGGAATAATATTAAAAGATTCAGATCTGCCTTTAGTGATCATACATCACGTTCTGCACTCGATTTAACTTTAGCGAATAAATTTTTAGATCGCCTTGCTCCTAGTTATGTGCCGGAATGCCTTTACAATATTTCTCTATCCGTCTCTGACGAATTATTCGAACTTGACTCTCCTTTTACTCTAGTAGAACTTAAAGGTGTTCTAGCTTCTATTAAAGACTCTGCACCGGGAGAAGACGGTATACCGTATTCCTTTTTTAAAAATGCTAGCGATGCGACATTAATTTACTTTTTAAATATAATTAATTCCATAATTATTTCGGGAAATATACCTACTTCATGGAAGTCTCAGATTATTATACCATTTCTAAAGCCTCATAAACCACCTTCTGAACCATCTTCATACCGTCCTGTTGCACTTTCCTCTGTCTTACTAAAGCTAGCTGAACATTTAGTGAAAAACCGTCTAGAATGGTTTTTAGAAAGTAATAACTTACTATCCCCGAACCAGTTTGGTTTTAGGAAAGGTAAGAGCACCTTAGATAATGTGAGCATTCTTATTTCAGATATTCATATAGCTTTCTCACAAAATTTGTCAATCCTCTCAGCCTTTTTAGATATAAATTCTGCCTATGATAATGTAATAATTTCTATTTTAAAAACTAAATTACAAGCTCTAAATGTACCGGTAATGCTTTCTAATTTCATTATTAATATTTTATCAGAAAGAACAATATATATGAATTTAGATGAAGATACCAAATTATCTAGAACAGTATGGAAAGGCCTTCCACAAGGATCTGTTCTCAGTCCAATCTTATTTAACATATACACATACGATCTAGAATTATTCCTTGATAAATCCGTCAAAATTTTACAATATGCTGATGATCTTTTATTATATTTTATTGCGAAGTCCATAGAATCTGCTTCTGCCAAATTATCTGATTCATTAGATTTGTTAAAAACGTGGTTAGATGCAAATGGTCTTAATCTTTCTGTAACCAAGAGTAGTGTAGTTTTGTTTTCAAGAATGAGATCACCGCAACAAATTAAGGTGCTTTATGATAACTCATACATTCCTATAAAGACTGAAATTAAATTTTTAGGTATCGTGCTAGATAATAAATTAACAGGTCTGTCCCACTGTAATTATATTTCTACGAAATGTGAGCGTAACCTCAACATTCTTAGGTGCCTTGCTGGAGTTTGGTGGGGAGCACATCCCGTTTCACTAAAACTTGCTTATAATGGTCTTATAAGGAGTGTCATTGATTATGGAACTTTTTTGTTAGCTCCAGGAAGTTCATTTGCTTTTAAGAAATTGGATTTAATTCAATCAAAGGCCTTGAGGATTATCTCTGGAGCAATGAAATCAAGTCCAATCAATGCTTTACAGCTCGAAGTCGGTGATCCACCTTTGGTTTTAAGAAGACAATATCTATCTGATCGCTTCTTTTTTCGTTGTTTACAATTATCTGATCATCCGCTTATTCAAAAGTTATCTCAACTACATATCTTTATTTCGTCTTCATCTTATTGGAAACATAAAAAACCTCCATGTTTAATACAAAGTTATGAAAAATATAAATCCATAGAATCTCCCACTTTTACATCGTCCTGTTTTCCCATTTATAAATGCTCATATCAATCTTTAGTTTTATCTCCTAATATTAAATATGATTTTGGGTTATTAAAAAATTATTCAGAATTGAATGCCAAATTTATGTTTATAACTGACATTGAATGGAATGAATGGCACTACATCTTTACTGATGCATCAAAACCAGACAATAGCGGTTGTGTAGGTGTGGGTGTGTTTCATTCACAATTTAATATCGTTCAAAAAATTAAACTTCCACCGGAGTCTTCAGTTTTTACCGGGGAATGTTATGGTATTTTAAAAGCTGTAGAATATATACTTTTAATGAAATTACATAAGGCAATAGTTTTCACTGACTCTATGAGCTCTTTGCAAGCTCTAGCCAAATATCCATTTAAATCAAAACCAGTTTATCCCATTATTTGTGACATAAGACAAAGTCTTTATCTTTGCATGTTGAGAGGGTATTCCGTTTCTTTTGCCTGGTTACCAGGACACAGTGGTATTAGCGGCAATGACAAAGCTGACCTTATTGCAAGAGAGGCTGTAACTTGTGGTGATATGTATCCGTATCATAATTACTGTAGTGACCTAGCTTGTCTCCCAAAAATATATTTAAGGTATGCCTGGAAGGAATATTGGGAAAAAACAAGTACAATAAAAGGAAGATTTTATCGCCTTATACAACCCGATATTCCTTTCAAACCATGGTTTTGTAAATTAAAGCTTGGAAAGACCGCAACAACTATTATAACTCGTATGCGTCTAGGTCACGTATGCACACCTTCTCATTTATACAAGCTTGGTATTGTACAAAGTTCGTCGTGTAATTGCGGTGCTGAAGTGGCAGACTTGAATCATATATTCTTCTCATGTTCTAAATTTGACCACACCTCCCTTTTTAATCATCTCCGATCCATCCGTGTTCCATTCCCAACTTCTATTCTTACTCTACTTTCTTCCAATGATCCTATTATCTATAAAATACTATCTTCATATATATATGATAACAATATTAAGATTTAGTTATATTACATGAATACATTTATAGTTGCATCAATTGCTTTTCCTATATATTTATAAGTATATTCTCATATGTACAAGTATATCCTTCATATCCTATAAATATCCTAGACCTAATCCTTATCCTTTCTAAATTCGTTTGTGTTAGATATTTTTATTACTATTATCGTTTCCCCGTTTTGTTCTTGGCAAAATACCCTAATATCGGGGTGAACGCCACAAAAAAAAAAAAAAAAAAAAAAAAATAAAATAAAAACGTCAAATACAGCTGACTGTAGTCTATTGGATTTACTTTATTTATTTATATATTTTAAAAATATTCATGTAAAATCAACAAATAAACATTTTTAACTCTTTAACATTTAATTTAATATGGTGATTAGTGCATTTAGGATTAAGTAAAACAACATAACAATAATCAACAAGATGACTAAAAAAAATGTATTGTTTCATTCCATAATCAGTTCAATTCAAAGAATAGCTCTATATGAAACAAAAGCGGTACGTTATTACTAGATATATTTTTGGTAATATTTTTAGTATATTATAAATTGAAATTTTAAGATTGTGAATTTAGCGAAAATTAATAATTAATTAAAACTTCTTTTTAAAAGGCCGATTCTAAAGCACCGTTCTCTATACATATCTCTTACTACTGTTATATAGATGAACTAAAATTATAATATTATTATTATTATATATATATTTTGACTTGTTGAAATCTATTAACAATTAGTTCATATTGATTTTATGAGGTCCAATAAAGATAAAGATTTTACTGTGATAGTAAATTTAAATTTCATAGATAGATTAAGAGAAATGTTGCCTCAGAATCAACCCCAATATCCACAGAAAAAGTGTGTACAATTGTAATTTTTAGAGTCAACAGGTAGCCTTAGCCACCCAAATTCTACCCATTGATTGTGAAAATTTTTCTATAATAACTTTGTGTCACAAATAGTGTTAATATAACTACCTAATTTTCAATTTCAGAGATTCTATTTAATTGGCTCCAATAATACACAAACAAGATTTCGTGTACTCAAAATTGATAGAACGGAGCCACGAGAGCTGACCCTAGTTGATGACAAAGTTGAATATAACAAACAAGAAATACACCAATTATTGAACATGATTGGTTTCGGAAACAGACCAGGCAAAATGGGTGGTTTCAATAAACTTGTGTCTGCATTTGGTATTGTAGGTAATATATTCCATTTCATTCCATTTGCATCAATAAAAAAATTAAAAAGACAGCAGTTTAGATCCTGCATTAATAGATCAATCAGTAGGGACAAAACTTTTTATGTGTAATAAATAGACTACAAATATTATTAAAGTATAAAGATGCATGAAGATGATGCATGAGATTAATTCACATGGTGTCATGGTAACATGCAGCTTGAAACCCTTTAGACTTGTTTATATGGGATTAGTAAACGTTTTTGCATTTGTTTAGCTAAAATTATGTCACCAACCAGACAGTTGTGGTGTGGCCCTCAGTTTGTATAAGAGAACATGTAATACATGATGAATAATTGTTTGAGAATGCTCAAATTTCCCTAGTCATATTTGCAACTTTGTCTGTCATAGTCCTATATCGTAGTAACTACTAATGCATTAATTTAAAACTTAGAATAGTGTTACATATCATTGGCCTGCACATATTGCAATAGAAAAAATGTTTTATTTTCATTGTTAGGGGATCCCAAATACTATTTCAAGCAGTAAAAAACTTATACATTTTAAAACTGACTTTTATTTATTTTCATGATGCATAATTTTTTAGTTATGATCAAAAATATGAGAAAAAAGTCCTCTCTGAAGTTTCTAAATAAAAAAATCTGAAATAATAACAGTTTGTAAAGATGACATTACAGAAATAAATAAATTATGTTTCTAACTGGCATTGATGTTTGTAACTGACTTTGTTTTTGAAAAATTATAAAATGGAGGATTTTTGATCACTCTTTCTCTCTCTTGAAATCTTTTGTTTTTGGAGGTTTTTTGATCAGTTATTTGTCCACTTGTTAAACACAATTATGGTCCAAAATAAGAAATTATTGTACTAATAATAATAACTTTACTGACTGGTTTTATTTATTGGTACAATCAAGAAATTCTGACTTAAATATAAATATATTTTAAATTATGTGTCAATCTATACATTAATAAGTACATTTTCAGGTTTTATAAGATTCCTTGAGGGTTATTACATAATACTGGTGACAAAACGAAGAAAGATAGCAGTTATAGGTTCACATTCCATTTACAAGATTGAAGATACAGCAACTATATACATTCCTAGTGAGAGCAACAAGCCCCAACATCCTGACGAGCAGAGATATTTGAAAATGTTTCTGGCAATAGATCTCTCTACAAATTTTTACTACAGCTATAGCTATGACATTACTCACACTTTACAAATGAACATAGCACCACCTCGACAACTGGCCCCAGTATTATTTCCTAAACCTGTCACAGCAGTTGTATATGGTACCAGCTCTGATGACTCTGAAGTGCACTGCACCTGTAAAGATGATGATGACGACGAGGACATCTTTGAAACATGGAAAAAACAGATACAACAAAGAAATGAGAAAACTGGGTAGGGTATTTACTGTTACTTTCAATCACTTATACTTTCTACTAAATGTCTGATCAAAGATTAATTACACTAGTTTACCTGAGTTTTGTTCATGAAATGGAATATATATGGTTACGTTACTTTGGGTATCTACATCTCAGAAAAAAATATTTTAACCACCACGTCAGTTTTTTGGAATATCTATTAAGAAGATTTTTACAAAAAAATACATCTAAATAAAGAATAGACAGTTAAAAATAGGTAAATATTGCTTTCTTTTATAACTATTTTCATTTGTATCTCTCACAATAGACTAACAATAGTCACCTAGCATATTTTGGTCCTAAAAGCCTTGATAATTTTGCTGAAATAATTTTAAATCATGGTGAAATCGTTCACCGTGTTCATCACTTACAGTAGCAAGATTTTCTGGAAAAAAATCTAAATGGGAATGCAAAAAAGTTATTTTCAGTGATATATTTACACCCATACGTTTATAATTTTGCAATAGATTTTCAACAATCTCTTTGTAATTATCACTTTTTTCTTCACCAAAAAAATTTTTAATCGCACTTTTGAAAGAGTTCCAGGCTGCTTTTTCTACCTTGGTTAAAAGGCTCTCGAATTTTTGTATCGTTCAATATTCTCCTGATTTGAGGACTGTGGGTCCTCATCAATGGAGGGTTATCAAATGTAGACTGTCCTCATCACCGAAAAAAATATCAGAGCTTGATTGTTCAATCACTATGCTCGTGCATTGTAATACTACTTGTTGTATCTATTGGTCACTACTGGCAGGTGATGTAGGAACTGGTAAATTCTCTGAATAAGGGACCAGCTTAGTTACTGATGGAACTCTGCATATTTTATACTATTTTTTATTTTTTTAGTTAAAACCAAAAGTTTTTGTTAAACAAAAGTAACGTTACGTAATTAGTTGTTTCTCTCCATATCATATATACCAGAAGCTGAGAACCAATCTGCAATTAGTGCAAATCACATGAGGAACCTAATTTTTATCTTGATTTGAGACCGGAAATTCAAAATAATGTAAATAGGCTTCTTGCAATGATTTTGTTACAAAGAAACTACGATTTAACTGAACAATTTTTCCACAAACATAATGAAAACGATTTGGATGTAATTTACACACTCTAGATGACATTATTATATAAAAATAAGACTTTTGAATCACACAGTTGTTTATAAAATAGAACGTCAAACGTATTTAAACAATTGTGGGTAGATAAAAAACAAAGACTTCTATATCTCAGAATTGTGAGGTGCTATGAAAAATAAAAATATATTTTTTTAAATTTTTTTAACTTTTGAACAAAAAAAAAATTTTTTTTGTAAACTAGTTTTATCATTGATGTTTAAGGTAAACAGAAATCAATTAAGTTTTAAATCATTCTTTTTATATATAGTATAATCATATAATAGTAATTTTTGAGTTCAACTAATAAAACAATTATTTTGTTTCTTATTATCAATTACAATTTTATTATATTAGTAAGATTCTGTGTCAAGATATTTCATAAACTATTGATTGAAACATGCTCAGGTTTTCAGTTTTGTTCTTAATTTCGATTGAATGTGTGAGAAGATTTAAATCTGAAGTTATATGCTCATTTTTTATGTTAGTTTTTGTATGATATGGGATGTTCTGTTTTAAAGACCACATAATGTGTATTATCTTACATTGCAATTTGTTGCATTTCAGATGTCAGAGTCAAAAGTTGGAATTTGGTGTTAGGACTGTACCGGAATGGCGTTTTGTATGGAACAGTCATTTATTATCGACAGTCCATTCTCAATTACATCCCGATTGGATATTGTACATAGTGCACGGATTTATTGAGCAGAGTAACCTGAACATATTTGGCCGGCCTATATATCTAACTCTGATAGCTAGAAGAAGTAATAGATATGCTGGCACAAGATTCTTGAAAAGGGGCGCTAATATTCATGGGGACGTAGCTAATGAGGTGGAAACTGAACAAATTGTCCATGATTCGATGGTATCTTCATTCACAGCTGGCAGGTTAGTCATGGTTGTTCATGTTTCATCATATGTTTACAACATTGGTTCTCGACCTTATTTTACCTGTCACCCATTTTGCGAATATGTTTTTTTTCTAGAGTCCCCATCTTAATTTTACTTACATGAATATTATTTCTATTTGTTTCGATTCTTAATCTTCATCTCATTTGAATTAATGCTACCTGAGCCATTGTATATTTGCTCCTGATTTTTATTCACTGTTAGTAATATATAATGAAAAAATCAAACAAATTTAAGACAAGGCATTGAGTAAATTTATTTTATTATAGATTCAGTTCATTTGTGCAAATGCGCGGTTCAATACCTAGCTATTGGTCACAAGATGTTTCAAAAATGGTACCAAAACCAGCGATATCAATTGACTTAAGTGATCCATTCGCAGAAATACCTGGAAAACACTTGAATAACCTCATGAGAAGATATGGTTCACCTATTATGTTCTTAAATCTTGTTAAGAAAAGAGAAAAGAGAAAACACGAATCTCTACTCAGTGATGTGATAAGCAATGCAATTAAGTATCTAAACCAATTCTTACCACCTGAACATGCAGTACAATATATCCATTTAGATATGGCAAGAATGAATAAGGGTGCTGATGCCAAAGTATTAGATAAGTAAGTATTTTCATAAAGCTATGAATAAATTAAAGCTTTAAATATTTTTTATTTATTACTAATATTATAAATATGTAAGTTAATTTGTTTGTTACCTTATAGCGCCTTAACGGCTCAACCAGTTCCTATGAAATTTAGTGTACACATACTATATGGGATGGAGAAGGATATAGATAGATAGATAGATAGACATTTATTTACATTACTTACAGCACACAAATTACAATAAAAAAAAAACATACACGAGCAAAAGAGACAAATAAAAATAAAAAAAGCACAAATAAAAAAAAATACAAAAACAAAATACATAATCTAACAATCTCCTTTGTTAACATTCCTTCATGCGTGTGCCATAGTAACACAAAATGGTCACAGCTCAGTTTATTGCTTTGCCCTTAAAAGAGCAAAACATTGATATTCTGCTGTGGCTTTTATCTATATATATAGGCTTTTATCCCGATAAGTTACTATAAATAATAACTTATTATTGAATTTGATAAATAATAACAGATATCAGGTAATGGAATGAGCTCCCTGCCGAGGTTTTCCTAAAAGACTGCAGCATGGGGTTCTTCAAAAGGGGACTAAAGAGGTTTCTTCAGGGTCGGCAACGCGCGCGTAATACCCCTGGTATTGCAGGCGTTCATAGGCTACGATAACCACTTACCATCAGTTAGGCCGTATGCTTGATTGCCACCTCACTGATATAAAAAAAAGATACACAAGTACGTGTTATAAAAAAATATGCTGCCTAATTTTGCGCACAGCGTAGTTAAAATTTTTATTAGTTGTGTTTTGGACGTGAATTTTAACAGATATTTGTTCCTATGATGTACTCACAATATATATTTTTCTTAAGGCTATCTGCAATAGCTCACACAGCAGTACAGCGTACAGGCATATTTCTGAGCTCCAAAAGTTGCGATGAAATGCGCGGTATTGAGGGTCACCAGGGCGGCCGCGTGCAGACCGGACTCGTCCGCGTCAACTGTGTCGATTGTCTCGACAGAACCAACACTGCGCAGTTCGCTATCGGGAAATGTGTTCTGGCTCATCAGGTTTGTAAAATTTTTAATATTTATAGCGATTGTTCTGCCTGTTTATATTTGTTTATCCCTCTCTATATAAAAATGCATTATCAGTATGTGAGAATAGAATCTATTAATTTAAAAAAGTGAATATAAAAATGGATTTAATCCAATATTCATTTTTATATATAACTGGCTGACCCGGCAAACGTTGTTCTGTAATATAAGTATTTTTTTCTGGATAGAGATATGTTAATAAAAACACGTAGCTTTTTTATGCGTATGAAATATACTTTACGACCTTTTCTTATACTTACCAAATATACATAAAAAAATAATAAAAATCAGTCCAGTTATTTCTAAGGAATTCGACCACAAACACACGAGATTTTTATATATAAGATAAAGTATATATTTGATATTCTTTTCTAAAAAGGATTTTTGCCTATATACGAGTGTATGTACGCATTATCATGGGCTAAACAGTATATTTTGTTAAATCCATGGTACTGCTCATGTCTATAGGTGACTGTTACTACTTTTCATCAGGTGGGCCATCAGCTTGTTTGCCATTCTAAGTCGCATAAAAAAAATGTGGTTAAATCGAAATCATCAGCGTTTAGTAGTACCAATGTGAATGAAAAAAATTGCTCATGTTACAAGGTATATATCAGCCCTGATCATATGAAGATACTGATATTCTACTATATCGATTTTACCTTATACATAATGTTTTCGTATGTAGACATATTGTGAAACTATAGTGAGAATATAATTATGGTGGTTAATAGCAATCTATATTGTTTGTACTTAGGCATTTTTATATCTGATTTCAGCTTTATGCATTAGGGCTAATCGCAGAACCAGTTATCGAATTTGACTCGGACTGTGTAAGACTCCTGGAAGGTTTATATGAAGACCATGGTGATACTTTAGCATTGCAATATGGAGGTTCACAACTTGTTCATAGGTAATAATAATTTAATATCATTGGAGATGAAGATGGGAGCTATTTTGACTCAGATCTTTCTAGTTTCCCTGTAAGTGACTTAGTCTGAACATATTTTTTTATATCGCGAAGGTGGAAAACAAGCATACAGCTCATCTGATGGTAAACAATCACTGTAGCCTTTTTTGAAGAAAAAAAAATATGTTATTGATAGGTTGAAAATGTGCAAATTAAAAATAGAGCGGCTTTATACCTAGTATTTATTTAACTTAATATTTTTATTTCAGAATAAAAACATACAGAAAAACAGCACCGTGGTCATCACACGGCAATGATATCATGCAAACGCTAAGTCGATACTATTCTAACACATTCTCGGATGCGGAAAAACAAAACACTATGAATTTGTTTCTCGGTCTTTTCATTCCTGATCCTTCGAAGCCACCAATATGGGATTACCAAAGTGATTATTATTTACACCATCCAGAGGCATCCACATACATACCAAATAGAAGGTAAACTTACTAATTAGTGTGATTACTACTAATATTAATGCGTTAATATTGTAAAAATGTTATTGTTTTTCCTCTGTACCCTGTAAATTCACTGCCATATCCCACCCTTCAAACAACAATGAACACAGCCATGCAAACACAACTGCTTCACAATACAAACACGAATTAGACAGAGAAGGTTACCATTCCAATATTATTTATTAAAAAAAATTACTAGAACCTTGACTTTAGATTATATTTTATAAACTGTCGTAATTTAAAAAAAAAACAATCTAACAACATTCCATTTATTAAAATTCCTCACATATGCCCAATACATGTACATAAGTCGGTTAGAAACGAAATAATATAGCTACAATTATTTTATATAGTATATTTTCCTTCAGGTCATTAACAAAATGGTGGGACGACGACGTGGTGCGACATTTGCCTCTCCCGTGCAACGAGATGCGGAAGCTTTGCTGCGAGATTATCGGCATGCAGGGCGACAGTAGCGCTCTGGAGATGGTCGACCCATACCACGACCATAACAGGCCATTTGAATATACTGTATTTTCAGAGTGTTTTGAATTCAAGGTAATATATAGTCATACGTAATAATAATGGTTAGTCCCACACAATTGCCTGGTCTTCAAACTAGAAAACCTAGCAACAACTCAGAAATTCCAGATCTAAGTCAATGTAGAAAAATCCGTTTTCCAAATTGTGGCCCGACTGCAAATCAAATCCGGGACCTCATTTACGCAAAGCAATGTGTAAACATCACAGAGGCTGTCAATAAATTCAAATAAATTATTAATATTTAAAAAAATATTTCGATGTTAAGTTTCACAAGATTAATATAATTTTATACATTCCAAAAAGCACCTCATTTTTTAAATGTATTCTGTTTCTATTCGATGTAGAAGGGTATTATTTAGATGTTATTGATTTGTGATGATGTGATGTTACAGATGTGTCATACTAGAGATCTCGCACCTACCTTCTCAGAGAGCTTCAGTCCGTTCGTAGTTCGCGGCCGCGCCATTGGTCACAACAAGGGGCCCACGTCCAAGAATCCAGTTATTAGCGGACGCTCCAGCACCATCTCTAATAATTCCAGCGAGTATGTGTACCATAAAATATATTTCTGTGACTTCAAAAGAAAAAAAATCAATTAGTTTGTATTCATAAAGTACTAGTGATCAGGTTCGTTAGGTTATTCGCACGGGTAGATAAAATTATCTTAAATAATTAATTATTAGAAACAAACAAATATCAAAGTGGCAAACAAGCATACAGTTCGTCTGATGGTAAACGGTCACTATACGAGGTCTGTCCGGAAAGTTCGTATAAAAGTGTTCTGGAATGCGAGAAAGAGGAGTGGGGAGGCCAGGTAAGCGCAGGACCCCTTCCTTATGTCCCTAACAATGCTTCAGTTCTGGTCTGACCGCCGTGCGGTGCGAACTGGCTTGTCACGCCATCTGTGAAGTTACCTCTTAACGAAACCCCGTCGGCATGGAGCCCGCTTCCGTTGAAGAGCAGCGCGTCGTAATCAAGTTTCTCTCGAAACTCGGCAAGAATGGCCGTGAAATTTTTGCCGATCTCAGAACAGTTTATGGGGATGATGCTGTGAAGGAACCAACCGTCCACAAGTGGCTAAAAAGATTCAGAGAGGGCCGAGAAAGAGTTCGATGTTCGGGGGATTGTCCATCAAGAATTCGTCCCTCCAGGCCAGACAGTTGATGGAAAATTCTACGTCGATGTGCTCAGACGCCTCAAAGCTCGTGTGGCACGAGTTCGTCCAGAATTGGCGCGAGAGGGCGTTGGATTCTTCACCACGACAATGCCCCTGCCTACACCTCTCTTGTTGTCCGTGAGTTTTTGAGTAAAAATTCCATTACGGTGACCGAACACCCCCCTATTCGCCGGATTTGGCCCCGTGTGACTTCTTCTTGTTCCCAAAACCAAATTGGTACTTCGGGGGCGGCATTTGGGGGACATAAATGAGATAAAAAAAGCTACGACGGGGCAGCTGAGAAACCTACAACCAGAGGACTTTCAAGGAGCCTTTCACAGTGGAAACGGCGTTGGCACAAGTGCATTATGTCACAGGGGGAGTACTTTGAAGGGGATAAAATTGATTTACCTGAATAATTGTAAAATAAAATTTTTAAAAAACTTTTATACGTACTTTCCGGACAAACCTCGTAAACTATGGACGTCTGCAACACTAGTGGTGTCACGTGCGCATTGCTGACTCTAAAGAAACTTTAATATACCCTTTTTAAAAAACCCCATACTGTAGTTTCTAGGGAAAACCTCGTAATAATATAGATACGCTATTTCATCGCCAATTTTTTAACCCATTTTGGTAATTCTTCTTGGGATCGATAAAGATTTACTCTCGTATTTGTCACGATTGTAGACGTTGTTATTCTGTTGAGCAAAATTTTATATTATTCTTTTAAATTATACACACCCTAATAGATGCGATAAAAGTAATACATACCTACTTTATATAATTGTTTAAATTTCCAAGTAAAATAAATAATTCTGTTATACATTTGATAATTTTATACACACCCAATGTTATTCGCGATTGTAAATGACTCAAAATATCATCACCAAAATGAAATAATCCGTTTATTTATATTTTTTAATATAATATATTCTGAAATGATATCCATGAGGTACTTATGGTGCAATATTGCACGAAATTAACGGACTTAAGGCCTTCAAAAATTAGGACGATAATCGTAAAAGATTCGATATTCAAAATTGAATAACAAATCCTACAATTTTGGCGATAGTATGTAGAGGACATTATGTATCATTATCTTTCTACCCTTATTCCAATCATTATTTGGGCTCGGCGTTATATATTTTTTATACATATTACAAAAAGATTTGGTTTGTAGTTTTACGACCGACCGCCTGCCTGACGTCAACCCTCTTTGGGAATTATGTATATATATAACTAGAGATGGGCAATCCACCTGGGTGGGTTTAAAGTCTGGTGGGTAAAAACCGGGTGTTTTGGGTTTATTGGGTTTAAACCCCATAAACACCCAAATTTTTGGGTGTTTATGATTTTGTACTTCATCATCGTCATCTCAGCCGCAAGACGTCCACTATACTGGACATAGACAATATTATTATGCAGCCTACAGAATAAAAAACTTTTAATTTGATTTTGAGTTTATTAAGAAAGAGATGAAAGTAAAATGTAAAACTACAGTCAATCACTGTCAGATTCAGAGTTATTACAAGCGATGAATTGTATAGGTTCGATAGGCTCTATTTCGTCTAAACTGTTATGTTCATTTACTTGCTCAATGAAAGCTTCTAAGGTATTTTCTTCATTAAACTGAATGTCCTCGCATTCAGCTTTATGTTTAAGATTCCAGTTATAACAAATGAATGAAATTTTTTCAGTTCTTTCAGTTGTAAGTCGATTTCTTTTGTTATTATGTATGTAGCCTTGGATACTAAAGGAACGCTCAGTGGCTGCCGAAGTACAGGGAGCTGATAGAATACGAATCGCTACTTTGCTTAACTCAGTGGAACCACAAATACCTTTCCACCATATTAGGGGCTCAATGCTATCTAATGAGCTCCATACAAATCCTCTGGCCCAAAAGTTTTCTTTAGCTTTATAACACGCCAAATCTGCCATTACATTTGACAAACTTAAGTGTTGGCTTAAATTGTAGATAAACTCCATACCCTTAAGTTCTTCCTCTTGAGTAAGTTCGACTCCTAGAGTCCTGGGGTCTAGAATATATGCTGCAAAATGTATTGGCCTCATTGCCATATTGCATCTTGAAGATACTGATGTTAGAATCTGCTGTTTGCTTTCTTCGCTCAATGTCGAAATCTCATTTAATGCAAAACGTATCTTAGCTTGTACATCTCTAAATGTAATGTATGTGCGATGCAAACGATTCTGGTCGCTCTCTAAGTAAAATATGCTTTCAGTGACTGGTTCCAAAATACTTATACATTCCCCTGTCTTCGTCCAGAAATCATCACTTAGAATTAAATCTTTAATATCTCTTGAAATTACCACATCTTCTCTAACTGTTAATATTTGCAAAGCTATCTTATTTGCTTTCAAACTTTTAACGAAGTAACATGACTTCCCCATCTTGTAGCACAAGGCAATTTTAGTGTTTGTGTAGAATCTTCACCCTGCCTTGATTTTATCAACAAGGAACTTAATCGTTGACTCCTTTTAACAGTTTTTATTATATTTATGGCTTGCATAATAAACACAGTTACTTCTTGTATCTTTACAATATCTTGGCACAACAAGTTAAGGATATGTGCACAGCAACCGAGAGGAACAACATGTGGATATTTGAGTTTTGTTAATTCGAATGCCTTTTGTATATTTCTAGCGTTATCGCCAATAAGTACAAGAAACTTATTTGCTCCATACACTTTCATTACTTTTTCAACTTCTTGGCTAAGGTATTCACTAGTGTGAGGATTACTTTCTGTATTCAAACTTTTAACGTATGCAGGTTGAGGTTTTGATATAAGAAAGTTTATTATTCCTTCATTTCTTAAATTAGACCAGCCATCGCACTGAAGGTGTAAGTAACTACAAGCATTTAGTTCCTCATTTAACTCAAAACGCATTTCTCTATATATTTTATCTAAGTATTTTGTCGCTAAAGCTTTACGTGAAGGTATTTTAAATTTTGGTTGCAATTTTTCGAAAAATTGTATCCATAAAGGATGTTGCACCATCGATAATGGCGTCCCTGTTACAAATATAGCTCTCGCTAATTCTGTTTTTATATGATCATCGGTGTCTTGAAACTCAGCATTTATTGTAGTGTTAGCAGACGACGAGGGGCTTATAAAAGAATCATTTGTCTCTATCTCTGACAGTCCAGACATTTTGGTTTTGGACGAGCTATCTTTTATAAGTTTCATAGAGTCTTTTAATGTTTCTGGAGATTTTGGACAAGTGATAAGATGTTGAAGCATTTTGGCAGCATTACTGAATTTGTAGACCTTATTACAAAGCTTGCAAGAAACAGACTTGTTTGGTAAAGTACGGTAGTGCTCCCATATGCGTAAATCTTTAGGTCTCCCCATTGAACCTAAAAAAATGAACGATGATTAGTTGGTCTGACGAAAATTCAACAATAGAGTGCCTATTTTTTTACAATGATTATTTCTTGTTATTTACAATAAATTTATTAAAAAAATAATAAAATAAATACAAAAAACCTTTGTAAAATTACATCTCCTCGGAGGATTAAACGCAGACGCTAGTTTATTATCGTATTGTTCTGTATTTTTCTCAGCAACTTCTTTAATTCGATTAGGTACTTACGCATATTATGTTAAAAATAAATATCTAGTACACATCTTAGGCTATCCACCATTATTATCCAATGACGACTCTCAGCTAACTATGCACTATCATCCAAAATAAACGTGTATGGAAAATTTTATCCCAGTCGGTTGAGGATTGAGGATAATTGCATCAACATACGAACATACCTACATACTTTTATTTACATAACGCAAGCTAAATAAAAGCTTGTAATAATACATCTAATTTTAAGTTAAAATTGTTAAGTGATCATGATATAATTGTATCATTCAAAAATCCACTTACCTTTAATTATTTCTTGTTAAGTATAAATATTATTTCAAATCTGCTCCCTTAATATGCACTTTTTTACTGCTTTTCCTACCTAACACGTTACCAGGAAGTCACGTTACCAGAGTCAGAGTAATAGTGAACACGTTTGACAGTGATTGTCGTCGCCTCATATTCAGCGTCGACGAATAGGGGAATCCCCAGTCATAATGTATTGCATGCGTGGCGGTCTTACTTCAAATCCATAAACAAAGAGATAATTACAGAACTCGATACTAGATGGCGCTGTTTTTGTTTGAAGAAAGTTTGCGGGCTAAAATACATAGAATTTCATCAATGACTTCCACAAAGAACAACATTTCTGTTTTTTCTAAGTCCGTATCTCTTCCGTATATTTCATAAGATATAAGCTTGGGCTACATTGTTATGCAACGTGATTTTGTCGCTGTCTTGCTAGCAGGGTTGACAGATATACGATTTAAATCGTACTCATACTATTATTTGTCTATTTTTTAATGTACGATCGTAAAGATTATGATCGTAATTCGCACAAAAACATACGACTTTTTGGTTACCTGGCAACATTTTTATTATGAAACGAACATGCTCACATCATCAGTCACATGCAACAATTTATTGGGGATTTCCCCTTCACATCTGGCAGTCCTGCTTGCTAGAATATAGGTAAGTCAGCCACAGTTACTGACGATCGATATTTAAAGGGTATTGTTTTTGTGCTAAATATTTCATAAAAACGTTATTTAATACTTTGTGGATTATTAATTTAGTTGATAATCACTGGAAGTAAAATGGATGCTAATTTGAGAGATCAAGATCTTCGTATAAAACAGTTAATAAAAGAAAATCTACGTAAGTACTCTTTTTATACCTAGGTAGGTAAGGTATAATAAACACAAAAGGTACTTAGATCGCGTGTGTTCGAAGCATTTATTCTAATAAATTTAATTTAAAATTGTAGAAAGAAAAAATGTCTGCCAAGCCGTAGCCGAAGCCGATCTCCAAATATATTTGGCGATAGTGAGACCCAGTGTCCAGATGATTTACCCAGCGTCGTCGCAACAAAGAAAAAAAACGAGGATAAAGTAAAAGAAAATTTACTGAAAGAAGAAACAAACTGTTCTAAATGCTTAATTTATGGAGAAGAGGATAAAAGAAATGAGTATTTCGGACTGTTAGTGGCTCAAGAATTTAAATATATACGGCCATGTGTGCGAACGAGGTGTTATGAAGAAATTTTAAAGTATCTACGGGAAGCAAAAGGCCAACATGTTGATCAACTGCAACATGAAAACACTGAAAATTAATTACTTTCATTTTATTATATATAGATTTTTAAAATTTCCTGAAATATTATTAGTTAACGTTTTATTTAATATTGTAGAATTGATCAATACAATTTATAAAAATAATTTATTGGTATTACTTACATATTTTCAAAAAAATACGTAAAAACCTATTTTTTTTGGGTGATTATGGGAGTTTATGGGTGTTTATTGGGTTTTTACCAAAGCACCGGGTTTAAACCCGGTGCTTTGCCCATCTGTATATATAACATATAGAGTTACTTCTTACAGTTCAAACAGTGATTCGTCAACAGACGATGATCTAACGAGTTCAACGCCAAGTTCCCGGCAGGCGGCGCCGTCTCCTTTGACCTTACTCGCTAAAGTGCTGACAGCTGAGGAAGACGAACAAGCGAACCTGTTCCCCGCCATCAAGCGTCAGAACAGAGTCCTATTGAAGGAACCAAATAAACGTGATATGCTGATGTAAGTTTCTTTATCTTCTATCATCATCATCGTCATTATCATTATATCAGATTTCTATTGTACACTGCTGAACATAAGCCTCACCCTAGGGGGGTTTTGCCAGTAGTTGCCATGCTTGGCAGGCAGATTGGAAACCGCAGTTAGGCTTTGGAGATGTTTTAAAGGGAACGCTACTGCCCATTCCTCGCGCTCCCTTAGTCGCTTCTTACTACACTCACGGGAAAGGAAGGGATGGCCTATTCTATGCCAAGACCACATGGGAAAATAATGTAATATTACTAACATTATCTTCTCTACACCTTAATATTATAAAAAATTCATGTCATGATCCTCGCTAATTCGATTTTTATAAAATTTTGTATTGAAATGGACCTAGTAAATGGCAGTAGAAAAGTCAAAACAACGTTTACTGGGTCAGTTCATAATTAGGTATAAGAAAATTGGCCTGACTGACAAACTAATCCATCGACAAATAACCTAAACTGCTGTGATAGAGGTTGGAAATATAAAATTTTGAATTTGGGTTACTTTTATTACGTATTGTCGACATGGCATATTTTCCAAATTTCTTATATATTATTAATGCATCAAATGTGAAAAACACCTAGTTAATCATTTTATTAATAAGATAAATAATCAACCTTTAATTATATTATTATTTGACTTGTAAACTTAAAATAATTACTTTCTAAAAAAACCCTTTGAAACAATCCTATTAATACTATGAGTGCCAAAGTTTGTAAAGATGTATGTTTGTTACTTTTTTACATAAAACTACTGAACGGATTTGAATGAAAATTGGTAAACAGGTAGGAGATATGCTAAGTTAGCATAATATAATACTTTATGTACTGATACACGCGGGAAAAGACGCGGGATCCAACCATATTGTAGGACTTTGACATTTGATTTCCCTAACTGTATATGAGTACGTGTTTTAATTATTATTATGAATATTATAAAAATAAGAACTCTTATTAGTACTCTTCTGCTCTAGAAATCTTAAAAACTGTTTATTTAAAAATTTACACTAGTATGATCGGGTACAGATTTTGCGAAAGGGATACTTTTTTCGCAAAATCATGATTTAAGGCAATGTAATATGACTCTTAAGAAAAAAAATACTAAAAGTTAGTTTTATCAACAGATACAAACGGTATGTGAACTTCGAGCGACGTTCGAACCCCAAATATAATTCAGACACTCACGTAGTGCTGACCGTCAACAGCGCATTCACTATCGACAGCTCAGTGGACGTGATCCCGCCCACCGTCACCAAAGTAGCCAAGGAGATATACTACGACTATGTTCAGCGCAACAACGGCCGGGTAGCAGTATCATCCGCGTCTATTGCTGTTTACAAAAAATATGTAGATTTTAGCCTATGAATATTTATTCAATTTCTTATAGATAAGATTTTATATTTTTAATATATAAAAATCCTGTGTTACGATATTCATTCGCAGTAATCTCAGAAATCGCTCTACAGATTGTATAGAATGATCTAAGAAAAAATAGTATTTATTAAATTTGATATTTCCTAAAAGTGTAACATGTACAATATTAGTGAGATGTGTATTTAATACTAATCTTTAGAAAGAAAAAACATTTATTTATCAAATATATGTTATATTATAATAATATATAATAATTATATACATATTATTAAATTATAATAATCTTTAAATAAAGTAATAGTTAAAGAAGTTAGTTGACGTTTTCAATTTAAAGAAAAAGATAAATTAGTATATAGCCCCTATTTACTGATTACCTTTTCTCTATATAATACCCTTAGACTTTTTAAAAAGACTAACCCTCCTTTTTCATAAAAAATAAACAAATCTACTTAAGCTTTTACAGTGTTTTGTTATTTTCTTTCAAATTTAAAATTTGAGACTAAAGAAAAAACAAAACCACCTGCATCCACTGACTCCCTGCAATGCATTTCAGGTCGTCACACCATCTAGTAGAGCGGTCGTTCTACACGGCGTTTACCCGTACGTGGTCGCCATTCAAGAACCTTTCCCATCGGTTGTCAGTTGTTCGGGCTATGTGACCAGCACATTGCCAGCTAGGTCGTTACTTTGGTTCTTTTGCGAATATCTTCGTTTCGGATTCTATCACGAGATCTCTGAGTAATTTGACGCTTTTGCTTTCGGGCAATCGTGTAGGACCATGTTTCGGTTCCATAAGTCATTACTAGCAACACTCATTGGTTAAAGACCTTTGTCTTCAAACTTAGGTATTTTGAATGAAAGAATGTGGCGTAATTTCCCAGCCGAGTGGGATTCGTCGGTTGACCTCTCGATTGAAATTGGATTTACCCATTCGGACAACTTGTCCCATGTATACATACTTATCGACAACTTTGAGCGTAGTGTTATCAATCATAACCGGTGTAGGTGTGTCATGGACATTAGACATGAATTTAGTCTTGTCCATGTTCATCTTAAGACTTACCTGTTGAGAAACACGATTGAAGTCATTGTATCAGATCCTCTCCATGATTACTACTATCGGCATCGGCAAATCGAAGGTATATACGAAGGTAAATAGTAGACAATTGGAGAAATCGAAAAAATAAGGATCTTAAAATAAAACTTTTTAGTATCGGTACTTTTTTATAATAATTCAACCTAAACTATTAGTAATCAAAAACAAATATTATACATTATTAGTCTATTGTCAATACCTATATTAAACATTTATGATTTTTCTTTGCTAAAAATTTCATATATATAGTTATCAATATATATAGTTATGGAGCAAAACATGTAAATGGGACTTTTCTATTTACTATGAATAATATTGATAGATAGTATAATCTAAACTATTTAATTTGAAGGGGTAATGTGAATATAATCTAATCTTTTGATCCCAAAGCGTTTGTATTCACCCATTAGGTGTTTTGTTTCACCTTGTAGCCTTTTTGATGGCAATCTGTGCTTTCATTGTTCCTATCCATACCCTTAATGATTCGAATGCCTCAACTTTTTTAAAAAAAAATCTTTTGTACCGAATATAAATTAATAAATTAATTTTAAATAATTATTTTAAACAACCTACTCTTTATATATTCCGGAAGGCAGACAGTCAAATAAATTACTTACATGATTCGAAATATATATACTACGAAAAATATATTACGGCTGAATAATACTACTAATACAAAAAGATTTTTGCTTTTAAAATTTTACATTTCATACTACAACTTTCAATGTATATTTTGATCTTAGATTTAGTACAACGTACTTTATGATATATTTTGAAATATGTGTAGTATATAATAATTTTTGCATTTAAAAGTTGAAAATGTTTACTAAAATATCATTTGTGCTATATAAAAACATACAAAACAAATAAACAAACGTAGAAAAAGGTTCTTAAATTTTTTCAGATTTTATTTCTATTCACCCCGCGAATTCTATTCACTCTGTTTTACGACATAATTTACTTTTGATATTTTGTTGCGTTCCTTTATACGTATAATTCCCTATTTATTTCCTAAAATACAAATATCACAGAGATTATGTATTGAAAGAACTGTCAGTTGATCAAGTCTATAATTGAAACGTAACTTGGGTAGATAGCATTGATTCGTCTTATTCAATGTTTGTAAGAAAATAAAAATAGTGCAGTATTTTATGCACCAAACGAGGCGGGTGAGAGTGGTCTCTCGGTTATCTGAATACTGTTGTGTGAACTCTGATTTTCGTCAATTTTACAAAGGGGGCGGATGGCTACGATCTGTATCTGATAAATTATTTCAGTAGTCAGCACCATGGCAATGTCAAAGGGTTTTAAAGTTTTAGAAAAGTCTGCTCCGCCGAATCCCTACAGTATAATATTACAACATCGGAATAAAGATACGTCTCTGTTGTTTGAGTCTCAAGCTGTAGTATCGTTATCATCGCAAGAAACAGATACACTTAAAAAACAGTATCATAAGATAGCTGACGCGTACGGATGTTTAGGCGTACTGCAGTTGAATTCTGGTGAAAGCTGTCTACTGTACCTTGTGTTGGTTACGGGCTGTTGCTCCGTCGGTAAAGTTGGTGACATTGAAGTCTTCAAAATCACTCAGACTCAATTTCTCCCACTATTTCATCAATCGCAAGGCGATGATAAAGTTTTGGAGGTAAGGAAGCTTCTAAATTCTGGTACATTCTACTTTTCCTGGAATTCAGGCAAATCTACTGACAGTCTTTTTGATCTCACTCTATGTTCTCAAAGAAAAAGTAAAAGTGCTAATTCTGATAACAGGTTCTTCTGGAATAGAACATTATTCATTCATTTAATAAGGTATGGAATTAACTGTGATGAATGGCTTACTAGGGCCATGTGTGGCTCAGTTGAAATTCGTACAATATATGTTGGTCACCGTCAAGCGAGAGCCGTACTTGTGTCTAGACTTAGTTGTGAGAGGGCAGGAACAAGGTTTAATGTAAGAGGCTGTAATGACGACGGTAATGTAGCAAACTTTGTGGAAACAGAACAAGCAATATATATTGATGATTCTGTAGCATCTTATATACAAACAAGAGGCTCAGTACCCTTATTCTGGGAGCAACCTGGAATACAAGTGGGATCACATAAGGTAAAGATGTCCCGAGGATATGATGCATCTACCAGTGCTTGTGATAGACATTTTTCACAGTTAAAACGCAATTATGGGACTGTTATTGTAGTTAATCTTCTCGGATCAAGTATGATTGGTGGCAGTGAAGGTGAAGCTACTCTCAGTAATGCTTTTCAAAAACATCTCAGTGACTCTGCACATTCTGATGTTACACAACTTATTTTTGACTACCATCAAGAAGTGAGGGCAGCAAATGCAGAAACAGCATTATCAAAATTTAAGAAAAATGTAGAATGTTATTATGATGAAATTGGCATTTTTAGTGCTAAAGGAGAAGATATATATAACATTCAAAAGGGGGTTATTCGAACTAACTGTTTAGATTGTTTGGACAGGACTAACTCTATACAAACATTCATTGGTTTAGAAATGTTGGCTATTCAACTAATGTTACTACAGTGTCTTGATAAAAAACAAAATGTAAACCGATTTGAGGAAGTTTTTAAACAAATGTGGGTAAATAATGGTAATGAAATATCTAAAATCTATGCTGGAACTGGTGCTATACAGGGAGGTTCAAAATTAATTGATGGAGCCAGATCTGCTGCTCGTACTATTCAGAATAATTTACTAGACAACTCCAAACAGGAAGCCATTGATATTTTATTATTAGGTTCAACTTTGAACTCTGAGCTTGCTGATCGAACAAGAATTTTGTTACCATCTAATATATTACATACTTCTACTCCTGTACTTCGGGAAATGTGTCGTAGATCAAATGAATTTACTCAACCATCAAGTATACAAATAACTATTGGCACTTACAATGTTAATGGAGGAAAACACTTTAGAAGTCTGGCTTACAAGGATGTGTCTTTAGCTGATTGGTTACTAGATTCACCTAATTCTGCATTGGTAAATACTGTAAAAGAACACCCTTCAGATATTTATGCTATTGGTTTTGAAGAAATAGTGGATTTAAATGCCAGTAACATTATGGCTGCCAGCAGTGATAATGCCAAGGCTTGGAGTGAAGAATTGGAAAAGGTTTTATGTAGAGATGCCCCTTATACCCTTTTATCAAGTCATCAATTAGTTGGAGTTTGTCTTTTTGTGTTTGTAAGAAAAGACCTAATTCCACATATAAGAGATGTTGCATTAGATTCTGTAAAAACTGGACTAGGAGGTGCTACAGGTAATAAAGGTGCAGTAGGAATTCGTATGGTTATCTATGGAACATCAATCTGCTTTGTATGTGCTCATTTTGCTGCTGGCCAAAGCCAAGTGTCAGAACGCAATGCTGATTATACTGAAATAACTAGAAAAATAGCTTTTCCAATGGGTAGATCTCTCTATTCTCATGATTATGTATTTTGGTGTGGAGATTTTAATTACCGTATTGATTTAGATAAAGATGAAGTTCGTTTACTTGTATCACAAAATAATATGGAGAGACTACTGGAGCAAGATCAATTAATACAACAAAAGTCACAAGGTCAAGTTTTCAAAAATTGTTTTGAGGGTAAAATTGCATTTCCTCCAACTTATAAATATGATCTTTTTAGTGATGATTATGACACTAGTGAAAAATGTAGAGCTCCAGCTTGGACAGATCGTGTTTTATGGCGAAGTAGGAAATATACAATTGACCCAGAGAATACTTCAGAGTTAGGAGCTGGAAAATTGCTTCATTATGGGCGAGCAGAACTTAAACAAAGTGATCACAGACCAGTGATAGCTATATTAGAAGTTGAAGTATTGCAAGTCAGCTATACAAAGTGTATGGAGGTATTTTATGAAGTAGTAAAAGATCTGGGTCCTCCAGATGCCAGTATTATTGTTCAACCTTTTGAGGACATACACAGTGAAGATTCTGTTTTTGATGATAATGTCATGGCAGCTGTTTTACAGGAATTAGCAGTGATTGGTGAAGTGACACTTGTACGATACATTGATGACCACACACTGAGTATAACATTTAGAGAAGGACAAAATGCCCTCGCTGCAGCACAAAAAGGTCAAATATCTGTTTGTGGAATTCCTTTAAGTATAACATTAAAATCTCCTAATTGGGTTGATATAGTCCGATCAGAAATAAGTTTGTGTTCCAATAATACAGTACCATTATTTGGTGAAATTCAATCAGATCGACCACTTAGATCTGCGCCACCCACTCCTCGTCGACAGCAACCAAGTAGACCACCCGCACCGTCACCAACTCCGTTAGTTCCATCGAGAGTACCACCTGTGAGCCCCGCACGACCCCCTCCCCCTCGTCCTGCGCCACTTCCACCAGAGTCAGGAAAATCTATTGACCAGCCTTCCGTAACATCACCACCCGCCGATAGCGTGCCACCCCCGTCGTGCGCCCCACCACCGCCTCCTCAGAGCAGTACTCCGCCACCTGCTGGTCCGCCACCTCCGGTTCCAGCTAGACAAGGTGCACCGCCGCCATTGCCAGCGCGACCACGACCAGCCACGTAATTTGTATTTTTACTCTATTTATCTTTTCATTATTGTAGATAATTTTGCCTACATGTAATATTATTAAATTATTTATGTTCCTAGTATTCCTACATGTATAAACATTTTTATGCTTTCCTTTATTGGAATAAATATAAATTACCATAATAGTAAAATTAATGATGCATATAGGTAGAGTGCAATGTAATTGGTTTTAGTTGTTATAAATTTCACATAGTGAATTTCGTGACATGTTAATCTGAACAAATAATTTTATAATGCTGAAGTATACGTTTTGTACCAAACACAAGGAGGAGGCATCATTTTAGAATCATTTAATGTAATTTAAGATCCTTTTTAATAAACAACAGGCTTTTATAATATATAGAATATATTTAACTACCTGCTAGGTAAGGAGTATAAAATATTATAATTAAAATCCCACATTATTGTTCTCTATAAAAATACATCGAAATAATAGGTGACCTTTATAATTACAAATTTATAAACTGCAATATTTATTTGTTATTAATAAATATAATATATCAGTAGTGTGTGCTCCAATAGATATGCACAGGAACATGTTAGGGGCGAGCATAGGTGTCTGTCCTGTAAAATTAGTAAGACATCGTGTATTAAAATTACTACTTGAACAATTAATTATATAGTCATTTTGCAAAGTTTCATATGTAAACTTCTTTTTTAATTAATAATAATATGGATCAGAAAAATGTGTTGGCTCAAATGAATATAAGTATCATGACTATTATGTATACTAATATTTACTTGAATATTTTTAATTTTTCTGATCTAATATCATAATTATTTCTATTAATTATAAAAATTTGTAAGAGGGGAAGGGTGTACGAGAAAAGTTTTAACACAATCGGTCGAATTGGCAACCTCGCAGTTTTTTCAATATCGTGGTGGTTCAATGTTCCTGGTTGGTTCACTGTTCAACAACAGTAGGGTATCATGACTATTATGTATACTAATATTTACTTGAATATTTTTAATTTTTCTGATCTAATATCATAATTATTTCTATTAATTATAAAAATTTGTAGATTAAAGAGTGATGTGGCTTAGTGGTTTAATACATACGCACAATGGCCCAAGTGAGAGGCTAAGCGCGGAAAATTGAGTCTTTTTCACATAGTGGTTTAATACGAGCAGCAGCTTTAAAAAATAACAAAGTCTGTACTAAATATTTGTGCAATTATTTCATTTTCTTATTTATTCTATGTTAGTTAATTATATTACTTATCTATTATTTACCTTCTTAACAAACCATGAATCTAAACACCACAGTGGAGAAAACTGCATTGTAATTGAATGTGCTTGACAAAATGTAGGAAAGTCCTATAATGAGAATAATCATTAAGTATAGAACTTTACTAAACTGTAGACGTGAGTTTTTTTGAAATTGTACATAATTTGCTAAGCCAATTTAGATGAATCTCGTATTGGTGAGGTGTTTTATGGACTGGCTCGCTGGCCACAATGACGTAGCGGCGGATGTTCATGAACTATCATATTTGGAAGTTTTCAGCAAAACGAGAATATAACAAAAACTTTTGTAGTTTTAGTATAAGTATACATATGCTTCTTCTTTGTAAAATTCACGATTCATATCATATGTGACAAATACTGTACTTATTCCTGGCGGTGTGGTAGGTCATTGTATGTAAAAGTAGGTCTTTTTTAAATCTAATACATCCCACCAATGAAATTGTATTATAATGCCTGTCTTTCGCGCGAGATGGCTATTAAACTCGATGGTAATGTGATTCCTCTGAAGTAGCTATTCAAGCTCTCAGCAGGAGGATTACTGCTAATGTATGGTATTGCATACATTACAACCAAAAAAATTGTTCGAATTTTAGAACAGTAGACAATACATAACTGCTCTGTATCTATACCGTATTGTAAAGTAGATCTGAGTCAAGCAACCGATATTCTTATGCCTGACAGTTTATTATTTGAAAAAGATAGTTGTTATTTTTCCTTGTTATGGCTGTGTTTAGCATTTTTATGAGTTTATCTGTCCATTGAGTAGGCATCTTAAAGTTAAGTATACTATTTTGTACAGTCCCGTAGTCAGTGTAATTTTTAAGCAATTGTGCCTGCGACTCGGTCCTTCAGTAGGTACTTAGTAAAATAATGCAATAATCTTGCCGTTATTTTATTAATTTTGCAGTCTATAGGCTACAGTGACCGTTTACTATCAGACAGGCTATCCTTGTTTACCACCTTCGTGGTATATAAAAAAAATAGTCTTATAATTCAGGGGTACATATACGAATCTGTCTACGGGACTCTTTCTTACATAATAATTATAGTATAAGTATCAGTAGTTGATAAAATCTTGTAAATTGGTTATAAATCAGCAATAACAGTTCGTGTTTCTGAGACACCTTAAAAAACTTGTTTATAATTTATTTAACTTAGTTGTCGTTATCTATTGTATACAGTTAAACAGATCAACTATAACATAACATAGATTATTGTTAGTTGGATTTTAATATGATCTTATATTTTCTATATTTTTTTAAATTTTTATTTTTGGTATATGTTTTTTTATATTGATTCTAATGTACCTGATTGTCAATCTATAGTTTCAGTTGTTAGTTACTCGCAGTCATTTTTATGACTAAAATACCTACTTAACTGATTTGATGTAAAATGTTATTGATCAAATTAATAGTTATGTCATAGAGTTAAATTTTATTAAAATATAAATATACGGTTAGGTAAGTATGATGCAATTTAATAATTTTGTTAAAAAACTAGGTTGCTCCGTTGTGTGCTATTTAAGAATATGCGTTGCATAGCATTAATCATGTATTTAATTGCAAATCACAACATGTATAAGATTGTATGGCCAGTGTTCCATGTTATATACAAATATATTATAGACATGTTAAAATTACATAATTCTTTCATTTAACAAGTGTCATGATGTTTTTTTTCAATGGGTGATCCCGTATAACTATCGGTATACGCTGACGGGGCACCAGTTAGGGATGATAGGTAAGAATGAAGGCAGTTTCAGTTCGCTAATCGCGATGAATTCACTTGAAAAAGAACAGGATAGTTGCCAGAAGGAACCGCGAAGAGGTGGACCTGAGAGGGTGTATTTCTAGCAATGGGGCTACTAATACCCATTATAAATAATTTCAAGGGCGAATTTTTTTATGTTAGAAAGAAACAGATTTTAATGGTTGAAAATGGAATGGTAACCCTGTTTGTGTTATTGGTATACATTGGCGGTGTATGAGTGTGTGATGATAGATGAGAATGAAAGCAAATCAGTTGGTCCATAGTGACGAATTCATAAAGAATTAACCAAAATGATTTCCAGTGGGAACCGCGTGGAGGTCGTCAGATCGACATCTGATAGCGTATATTGCTAGCAATGGGGCTGTTAGATCTCCATCACTATCAATTCTCTTCCCCCCCCCCCCCCCAACATAAATAGCGGTTTATGGTGGAAATGTCACTTTGTCAATTATAAATTTAGATATACTCTATATCAGGGTCCAAGACATGCGAGTCCAAATAATGTATATAATCACTGGTGGCAGTTTAATGCTTATTTGGATTAGTTATGAGACTCCAATTTTGAATCTTGTCAGTAAATATGTTTTGGCAGGAAATATGTTTTCAGTATGTCTGAGTGATGTAATTAATTACAATATTTTTATTTGGATTTTTTTATTGATTCACTAATTACAATGTCTGTAATCTTATAAACAAGCAGCTATATGCATTTTTTTTTTTAATAATTTAATCTTGTTTCTTGGGGAAAGCATGGCCATAGACTGTGTGAAAGATGCCAGCAAGTCCAACGATGCAGAGACCCAAAGTGAGGCGGTACAGTAGACTGTCCAGCGGGCCACCTTTCAAGTGGACTGGAACATCATCCTCTCTCTAGAATGGACAAAATAGAGAATCAATGTTACTAAAAACCACATAAGTATTAATATCAAATAAATATTATCTTGTGCTATTGATTATAGTCTACAGCTTTGCTAAAACAAAATTGTATCTTTTACTGCTAAAGTGTTGGAAAAACCTAATTGTATTCACTTAGATTGAGTCCCAATTATTCATAATATAGTCCATCGATTGTCTTATGCAAACTTAAATGGCTACCTGAATCCTGCAGTTTTGGCTATTTTATTAGTAGAATAATCTGTCCATATACAAATTCAGTCCAACCTATTCAGATATTTTAGTGTGTTTCAGTAACAGACATTTTCAATCTTTATAATTATGTATTATAGGATTATGTGAACCTTTATTAACTAAATAAAAAAAAAGAATATTTTCATCCCTTGAGAATTAATTTTAAATTTAAAGACTGTAAAAAGATTTACTTACAATTGAGGGTTTCAAATAAATATATTAGTGGATATAGTAATAAACTAATAAATGATAAAACACAGAGGTTAAAGTTGGTGTTTTTTAAAAGCCAAGAAGATGCTATGATCTATTATAATACAACCAGAACAGGAATAAATAGAGAAATTACTGCAAATAGAAAAGAATGGAAGAGGAAAACATTTTACGTCATCCAAAAATAAATAATTGTGAAAAAGTAGAAAGATGATGATGTTAATAAATGCACATATTTTATGTTTCATACCTGGAAAAGTTGTTGTCTCTTGCGGAAAGCATCAGATAAAGGTGGGTATGGAGTGTTAGTTCCTGGGATAAGATTCCTGGGACCAGAACCAGAAGAGCTTGCTTCGGTTACTGTTGAGAGCTGCGCAGTGTTGTACTGAATTGTGGGGGGCTCCACCCGTTGCAAAGCAATTGGTGCCTAAGTAAAAAAACAAGATATATTAAAAAATATAAAAGAAATAAATAACTACAGCTTATCCTATCCTTTATGTTTCAACTTTGTATATCAGATAATCAGATTTATATTGAAGTTGTCCTATCAAATTGTATGAAGAGCTGTGGCGCTGTATTTGCATTTAAAAAGTCATTCCTTGCGTTTACTTCTGCAAATTTTTATAATCTGGCCTAATATGCTTCTTATTCAATCAGGTGAGACAATCTTTAAGATTCAGATTCAGTGGCCTACTACATAGACATATTTACATTTATATTAAAAACAGTAACCAGGTCCGTTTTATTATTCAAAATTATCAAATAATTCTTTTCGTGAAAAGAATAAGAATCTATTTTAAATCATTATTTCATCGTGGGTTGGGGGACTTTCGGTAACGGACGTTAAAAAAGAAAATATACATACAACTGGAAACAGTGGGCTCTGTAGATGTGTTGCAGCAACCACCCGGCCAGTAACTTTACTTAATTGGTGATACATTTTTCTAGTTATTCAGAATTATACGAAGATGAGAGTTCTTAAATTTATCGAGCTATTACGAAACAAGTACTTATCAGAGAAACGTTCTGAAGTTGAAATGAGTTCTCAATTTTTGAACTTGCAACATTTGCATTTGTTTTACTGGTATTTTCATATGTGTAATGTGTATATTCATAAAATATAATAAAAACATATGATAAAAAAATATATTTTTTTATCATATGTTTTTTAAAATTAATGTTTACTCTAAATACTATGAAGTTTATTTCGAATTACAAATAACTTTAAATTCGAAGTTTCGAACATACATTTAAATATAACTTTTCGTTCCAAAAATTCAAATTTATAAAATTGTCTAGTATACTGTAATAAAAATATTATTACAATTCACTAGTCAAAATTATCTTCTTAAAACAAAAATAGTGTGATTTTTTAAGTCGATATCAATGCAATAAATTATGTAATTCATTATTGAAAAAATATATTATATTGAAAAATTTATTCGACGAGTATTGCAGCATATTGGTATTTTTAAACGAATCGGAATCGCCATTTGCCTTTTTGTGACTTTGACAGTTCTTTCGTTGAACACGTTTTAGTTAAAGGTGAGTTATTTTATAATTTTACTATGTTTTGTTAATTAAAATAAATATAGTCTCAAGCAAGCTAAGCAACTAATGAATCTGTTGTGTTTTAAAATCTAGACTCTAGGTTTTGAGCTAGTTTCATATTTCCTAAGTTCGAAATTTAAATATCCGCGTGGTGTCACTGTGACTTTAGCGACTATCATTTGTTTTATATTTAGTTTATGGACTAGTGTCCGTAAAAAACAATAAATGTATAATATAAAATAATTCCTTTCAGCTCACAATGCAGATATTTGTGAAGACCCTGACGGGTAAGACCATCACCCTTGAGGTCGAACCGTCTGATACTATCGAGAATGTTAAGGCGAAAATCCAGGACAAGGAAGGTATTCCTCCTGATCAGCAGCGTTTGATTTTTGCTGGCAAACAGCTTGAAGATGGCCGTACTCTCTCTGATTACAACATTCAGAAAGAGTCTACGCTTCACTTAGTACTCCGACTCCGAGGAGGTATGTTTCATAGGAAAAATTTCTTGATTTTTATTATTCTCTTAATATAAAATGGTGTTGAATTACAATTTATGATATTTTGTCATCATTTGTTAATTTTTCACATTATCTTTTTAGGTACTATTGAACCATCTCTCCGTATTTTGGCTATGAAGTACAATTGTGACAAAATGATCTGCCGTAAGTGCTATGCCCGCCTGCACCCTCGTGCAACCAACTGCCGCAAGACTAAGTGTGGACATACTAACAATCTCCGCCCTAAGAAGAAGCTGAAGGATTAAATTAAACATCAATCTATTTTCATTTTCTATCAGCAGTCTACATTTAAAATGTATCAAAGCTACTAAATTAAAGTGTACCAACTAATAATTGTTATTTTTTTTATGAGCAAAATACTTAAATTTCTATCATTCAATTGAATTATAAATTATAAACATTTGCCAAAATATGGCATCAGTATAGGAGTAAAACCTCCTCATTCTAAAAAGAATTAAAATTCAACATGGTGAAGATACTTTATAACATAAATGCAAAATATAATGAATATAGTAAACCTTTTTTTGAAAGTGATGTGATTTGAAACCATTCGTAATATTATGAATTATGAGACGTCTACAAATTTATTGTTATTTTTTGTTTTAGGAATCTTAGAATGTTCTAATAACTTTTTAATCTTTAGTAAGTATTCTGTAGCAAGCAGATAGTTGTAGACTATGTATCACAAAAATATTTTTTTTAAATGAGTATTGTTTGCTCTTTAAATGAATATTGTTTGCTCCAACTTAAGTAGTATATTCCTATAATTCCAGTAGCAGGTAAATTGTTTGCTGAGTCAGTAACTATAGAATTTTTCCAACGAAAATGACACCAAGGCCATATAATTAACGATTCTTAGTTTTAGTTACAACGCCGCGTAATGTATTTGAAATTTTACAAACCATATGACGTTTGATATATAGCTACTGGATGCCTAGTCAATAACGTTTCTTTGTACTTTTTGTATGTTTGTGGCGTTGACCTTACACAGCTGATTACACGTAATGCGGTAGGATTTTAATACGTATGTTACATTGCTGTTTTTTAGTATTTCACTATAAAATATTATATCTTCATATTATGACATCATAGATTACATTATTTTAAATAAAAAATACAGAAAAAATATTAAAAGTTTTCTGAAAAGAATTTCCACTGTCCAGTTTTCAGTTCAGAATAATGGTCTGAATTCACTGCCTTAATTTTTGCCAATATGATCCTTATAACCTGTATATCTGTTAGTGTTTCAGTGCATGTATGTAATTAATCTTGTAAGCATTCAATTTTATGAATAAAGAAAAGAAATAGTAATATAAAATATAATCTTTATTTGAACATTGTGATAGTTAAAATCTGGATAAAAAATTGCAATTCTTCATATTCTCACAACCATTTTTTTATTATTTCTAAATACTATATCTATTAAATGCAAAAAATATAGCTTAATTGGTAAGTATAATATTCATTATAAAAATAACATATAGGTAGTATGGCAGCATAGCACTACAGACTTAATACTATATTATACATACGCTGGCGGAGCACCAGTGGAGGGTGATAGATGAGAATCTAGCCCATCATGATGATTCATCAGGAATTAACCATGATAGTTTCCAGGGGGAACCGCGAGGAGGTCGACCTGGTTCGCAATGGGATTCTAAGTCTCCATTACTAATAATCCCTTTCCCCCTTAATACTATATTAAACGTGGATCTCAATAGTAAACGTGGAAAATCATAGAAATAGTTCTAAATGGCGTAACAAGACAAAACATATACCTGACTTTAATTTAGACCTTCAGGAACACAACTGTGATGTGATACTCGAACAGAAAGACAAAAATACAGAAAGATTAGAGAAAATTTCTAAAAAGTATAGTTTTGTTTTTTATTGCTCTTATTATATAAATTTTTCTTAAATGTCTTCCATATACATACATTAACTATTTACAATTTTTTTATTTAATATTATTTTATTATATTTATAATTACTAGTAGTACCTCTTGTTTGGCTATAAAGTGCGATATTTTTAGCATCGGCGACTGACTATTTAGTTGCTTTAGGTAAATTCGATGTGCACGAACATTTCACATATGTAATTTCCAGATGTGATCAACTTGGTTTTGGAAACTGAATGTTACGATGGAATTGCTTTCAATTGCGTATTTAATTCATATCTAGGTGGAGCCTAGTCTCTCATTAAAATTGCGCATATGCACACTTCTCCCACCCTTAAAGACGCTTATAATTGCTTTGGACTTATACCAAGTTACGACTCTAGTGAATAAAAGGAATTCCTGTAGTAGGAATGCGTAATAAAAATTTAGCTGGAGTAAATTAAACTTTCTTGGCCAATTCGGATAAAAAAATTATATATAAAATTACTTCAGAGGTTTAAAGTACATGCTATATTCAAATTCACAGCACAAACAAATTTGTTAGGTAAAATACGGTTATAATGAGCATTTATTACGTGTATCCTTTTGTAAAATAAAAAAAATATATTTGATTAATTGTCTACTACAACAATAGTTTCAGCACTTGTTATCGATGAAAACAAATTATTCCTTGCCTGTGTCAAATAAGTATATAAAATATAATATAAATTAAACATAAACCTACCCTAAATTATACCTTATCAGATCTACTAAATATAAAATATAAGATTTTACATTGTTAAAGCTATAATGGACGGATTTTAATTACTTATGTAACTCATTGAATATGCTCTAAGTTGTTGAAGGTTTTTAAACCATTCCAAAATGAACGACTTTGATCTTAGGTGGTCTTTGCGGCGACGATTCTGAAAAAAAAAGCAAGAAAATTTATTAAGGCATGTGACCCTTACTTTTAATATAAATAATACAAGACAAAAATGCGTATGTATAATTTATATTTCATTTTTATATTCTTCAAACGTCATTTTTTTTTAATTACAAAACTCACAGGATCTAATCAGAATCTAACTGTGAATCGAATATTATTCGGCATGGGGTTCTTCATAAAAGGATATTAAGGTTTCTTAACGGTCGGTAACGCGCATGTGACACCCCTGGTGTTGCAGACGTCCATAGATTGCAGTGACCGTTTACTATCAGACGAGCTTTATGCTACTTTGCCATCTTTGTGGCATAAAAAAAAATCAAATCCATACAAAGAGTAACAAATATCAAAACATCTTTAGCAACTCTCAAAATCAGTTCAAAAGATATTTTATTATTCTAAATACCCTTAAACCATATTTGTTAGATCAAGCGAAATGTGTTGGTAGCGAGTATTTATGATTGAATGCGATTTGAAAATAAATAAAGTTTAATGTGCGCATAATATTTTTAACACATGCATGTCCAAAAACCATACAAGCAGATTTAAATAATATATATATAATAATTCCATAATTTATTAGTGATTTATATCAATGGCTAAAATAATAATGACAAATATAAATAACACAAATATACTAAAAAGATGATTGTGTGATGATAAAGGGGTCTACTATGAATGATAAAACACCTTGCAAAAATTCGGCCGGGAAAGGGTTTCGACGTATTTTATTTTTTGTGATTTTAACAGCAAATTTGTGTACTGTTCCACTCCGAAAGGACAGTGAATAAGAATAGTTGATGGTAAAGCATATCTTTTGTTGTTGATGGTATATTGCATGCAATGATAATTACAAAAACTAGCTTTATTTAGTTCGGTACCAGATGGCGCTTTATAATATTGCCATTTTGTGAGTTTTACACGTTAATTATAAACTTTCGCGTTTTTTTATACCTCTTTTTAATTTATTTTTGGGATTTAATGCAATAATACGTGTATAGTACCTATATACCTGATATCTATTGCCGATGTTTCGATGTGTTTGTACCACGTTCTGTTCACGATAGGACTGAAGTGAACAACGTCTTGTAGTAACGTGCACTAAATAAATAAAAATCAGGTATGGAGGAACTATTTCCGTGTAATCAAATCGGTATTCGGTCGGTTCCGAAAGTAAATTTAACGACTAACTTGGTGAGTAAGTAGGTGTAAATATAACAACATGCGATGTAGTGCAAGATGATCACAAACATGACACGTGGTGGCATGCACGTAGCGTGCGTCACACTTCGACGTAGTCGAGCGCAGTACCGGCGGCCGCTTGCTGGGGCGGCTGTGGAGGAGGCGGCAGCGGCGGCGGGGGCTGCGGTGCGAACGCTGCCAGGTACTTGTGCGGCGGACACAGCGGCAGGCTGTCGGCGAGTTCGCGCTCCGTCTCCGAGCACACAGCGGTGTCCTTTTACGGTATTAAGTTTTAGGATGTATATTTTTTATTTAAAGATAATTAAACTCATTGGTTTGAGTTTAGATTTACACATAAAATTTACTTTCGTTATTGTTTAATTTTTGTTTCAAACACCATAAGGGTTGTACCCTTTCGGTACAGAACTCTATAAAGGTACAGGACTCTTGAGTTTTTTTGTTGGCCAGTAGAATATTAAAAAGAATATTATTTAAACAATTAAAAATCAAAATAATTAAGATTATTTGAATTTTTTATTTTATTTATTATTAGATTGAAAATAAAACTTACCGAAACAACAGCAATTGTGACGGTGTTTGAAAATTTGACCTTATTTTTCTCTGCTGGTCGATTTATAATTCTCTGTGGCATACTGTCTTGTCGTATTTGAGTACTTGTACTGGGATAGTAGTTGTTATTGCTATGGTAACGGTAAGTTGTGCTGGGCACATCTGTTTTCAATTCTGTTTGGTATAGGTTTCTATAATGACCGGGTGCTATTCTATCTTCGGGGTTCCTGGGTATATCTCTGTTCATTGCCGTTGGCACTTCACTAATCGCTGCAAGCGTATGTTTCGAGGGTAGTTTAGGGTTAGACAGCATGTTGTCCACACTATGCCACCTCATATTCTGAGTAAGTAGTGGTTTGTATTTGTTATAACCATTAGATATTATAGTATCATCTCTTAGATTATTCCAGAGGTTATTATCTCGTTCTAAGTATTGGTGGAGGTTTGGTCGAATGCTGTTAGTGGAAATTGGCTCGGTTTGTGATATGGAAACGGGCATCAGGGTGGGTTGCGAGGGCAGGGACGGGATGGTTACTCGGGGTAGCGGCGGTGGTTCCGTTTTCACTATTTCAGAAGAGTCACTTGTTTCAACATCTGACTCTGAATAGGAATGTGAACTGCACTGTGAACACGATTCTGAACAGTCAGATTCTGAAAAAAATAATACTATTGTATAACAATTGTTGTTGCATGTTTTTAAATAATTTATAAAAGGAGAAAGTGCATAATTCAATTATTATACTTTACTGTAGTTTTTGTTAATTAACTTCAAAAAAGGAGATTCTAAATGTGGTAGTATTTTTTATGTTTGTTATCTTAAAATTCCGTTATTTAGAAACCTATTTAGATATTTTTTTAAAGTATACAGTTTCAGATCGGTCTCATAGAAATTTCATCAAAATCTGTTTAGTAGTTTGGTTTTTAAATCAAAATAACTGGTTTTGCCAAGATCAGTAGATTCTATTCAACAAAATCTACTTGTTACTAGATAATCATATTTCATGATACTTTATACACTTTTTATGCAACTTACAATGTGAAACAAATAGACGGTCCACCTGATGGAAAGTGGTAACCGTCGTCATAGACATTAAAACAACACCATGGGCATCGCAGAACATACTGTGCTGCGTACGACACCGTTCACGTGTAGCAATTCCAGTGGAGTGTGTGGTTCTGGGTCCGTGCTGCGTAACAAGACATTAGAGTGGGTAACAAGACACTTAAGGTAACAGGAGTGAGCGCGTACCGTGGTGGTGGCGGCGTGCGTAGTGCGCGGCCAGCAGCGCGGCCTCGCGGCGCAGCGGGCGCGCGGCGGCGGCGGCGGCGGCGCGGCGCACGTCGCAGCACAGGTCCCACGCCGCCAGCTCCACGCCCAGGCTCAGCGCAGTCTCCGCGCGTCCGCGCCTGCGCACCACCACACTTACAGCCGACCACACGCACGTGGGGGGAAACACTGACAATCCTATTGCTACCAATATACCCAACCAGGTCCACCTCCTCTCCGTTCTCCCTGGAAACTATCATGGTTAATTCCTGATGAATTCATCATGATGGGCTAACTGGTCTGTTTTCATTCTCATCTATCACCCTTCACTGGTGCTCCGCCAGCGTATCCCGTTAGCGCAGGTGGGGTTACCATACCATTTTCACCCATCAAAAAAAAAAGAACCATACGCATGTGCCGTGGGTGGCTGACTCGCTCAGACACTCGTGTATTCAATACAGAAAATTCGATATTCGAATATAGGTTTCCTATACTTTTTTCTTTGCTTTAATGGCTTTATTTTTACGACCATTTCTGCTAGTGTCAAGTATATTTAGTTTCATTTTTCTGAATATTGCTAAGTTTAACGTTTCCCGCGTTTTTGAATCACCATGTTATACATTCAACGATCACTATGTTGAATCAACGAAAATCTTTATAATCGACGTCGATCACATTTACAATAGTAGTAGTGTTATTTATATAAATAAGTAAGTACGTTTTTGAATTTTATGTGATGTTATACTTGTTAATATCATTAAAAAAATCAATGACACTACTTTTCTCCCAACACCTTGCCACACAGTCCCGAACCATACTCATGTGCTGAGAAAGGCTGACTCAGTTACATACTCGTGTATCTCAATGTACAAAATTTGATATTTGAATACAGGTTTCATATATTTATTGTACTCGAAAATTATTCGCGCATTTATCATAAGTTTTTTGTTTCTGTTTTATTATTTCATTTTTTTAGTTACTAAAGGAAAAATTATTATATGATTGAACATTTATTATCTCCATTAAAAGTGAGCTTTAAAAAGAATGTACTCGAGCCTGATGAAGTATTCGAAATATAATAAAATTTAATTCTTTTTAAGAAGAAAATAGTTGTAAATTAAAAAAGGCCAATTCGGCATATCACTAGCTAGCAGCCAAAATTAGCGTATCTTCGGTGGCATAAATTGACTATTACTATTGACTGTTTGCATCATTAACAGAAACACGAATTGAGCCTATGAAGGCTAGCATCACAGACATCTAGGTAAAATAACTATGTTAGCGCATTCTGAACCTGAGCAGATGGTGAAAGAACTTTCTGGCCAGGTCGTGCAGCGGCGGCGCGGCGGGGGCCGCGGGGGCCGCGAGCGGGGCGCGGGGCGCCAGGAACGCACCCAGGGCCGCCTGTGCAGACCCTTCTTCTGCTAGCCACGCTGCGGAATCATCATTAATTAAAAAAAAATTAATAAAAAATAAAAAAAAAATAATTGTTTTTAATTTTTTTTTATACAACTTAGAATGGCAAACAAGTTGACGGCCCACCTGATGGAAAGTGGTAACCGTCGTCTATAGACATGAGCAGTACCATGGAAATACCAGAGTATACTGTTTCGCCCATGATACCCCCCATGCGTTGCCATTCCTGAGGACTTAGGTGTTATTTCTCTGTACCCAGTAAATTGGCAAAAATGGCGTAACATGCATATAATAAAATATAAAATTGAATTGAATTTAATAAAGGTAATCACTCTTTTTAAAAGTTTATTAGTTAGCTGCGTGTGGTCCCGGCGTAGAATAGGCCACCTCTTCCTTTCCCGTGGGTGTTGTAAGAGGTGTTGAACAGTACCCTTCTTAAACCAACCATAGGTTAAATTGTGGTTGCAAACCCGCCAGCCAAGCGTGAAAACTACTGGCAAAACTTCTCAATAGGGTGAGGCCTATGTTTAGTAGTCGAGATAATAATGAATAATATATAATGATAGTTGTACCTGCTTTACTGCGCAGTGCAGCGCAAACGATTTTGTTGACGGCCCACAGGCAGCGCGGCCCATCCTCGTCCCAGTCCATGGCACGCAGCAGCGCTACCGCATTGCTGTTGCGGCCCGCGTTTAACCACGCCTATACAATTACATATTAACAATTTGTTATAGTTCGTTTAATTTTTAATGATATTTAGGATGACATTTATAGACTATAAAGATTTAAGTAACATACTTGTATTGCGAAATATTAAATAATACGATAGATACCGTCAATAATCGCGGATGTGTGATGCGGAGTAACGTCAATGGCCCGCCGTTGAATGTTGCTAATATAAATGGACCACTATTGGCGTTACACGTAGCTAGTATCTGCATTCGGCTTGCATCTCTAAACATTAAAATTCAATGTATAAAATATTATGATTTAATAAAGATTATCTACTTATCTCTTAGTACTTTTATTTTCCATTACAATGCTGGCAAGTCAGATCAGTATGACCTTTTAATTTTATTTATTTATTGAACTTTAAATATAGGTACCTAGATAGTGGAAAAGGTGGACTTTAATAGCAGTTTTAATTTTTTTTTTCTGTAAGGGCATTATGTTTAAAGAAGCAGGTTTTTTAAGGGATAGAAAGATGAACAAATGGAAATAAAATGATAATAGAATGGCAGTTGATCCATCATAATAAAATTACTAGGAGTTAATTATGGTGATACCCAAGGGGGGCCTCGTGGAAGGCAATCTGATAGGATATATTGTTAGCAATGGTGCAATTAGTTCCCTTACTAACCATCTTGTCCACTACTTCACAGTACAGGTTGGGAAATTTCCATATTGTATAATGATATTTTTACCTTAAATATGACGTGAGATCTAAACATTTGGTGTGGTGATGTAACAGGGACAACGCACGATCAAAGCACTGCAGGCGTCCCCCCTCTTCAACAGCTAATATTAATTCTCCCGCCCATCGGACATCTGTTGCTATCTAGAATTGAATTAAAAATATTTTTAAATTTTAGTTAAAATAAGGAAAATTATTAAAAACCAACATGTACTGTAAGAAAAAATATATAACTCATTATTAATATAATATTAAATAAGTAAGATAATATACAGTATAGAATGGAGGACATAGGCTACTTTTTATTCTGGTTAATAAACATATTTTGGTCATAAAGACAAAGATGCGGGTAAAAGCTAGTGTTGTTACTAATATTTTAAAGTGAGTTTGTTTGTTACTTTTTGACATCGTGAGATGTCATTTGAGATCGTGTATACCAAATTTCATGACAATAATTAAGCCGTGAGGCTTAATTATTGTCATGAAATTTGGTATACATGTACTATTTTGGATGGAGAAGGACATAGGCTACTTACTGTTTATCGTGATTTATCAACATATTTCAGTCATGTGGCAGATAAAAAAGGTAAAAAATTGTGAATGAATGAAATAAATTTTGACTTGCACTATTTAGTATGAGGAGTACTCACAAAACCAGCCTTGGTGGAGTGTGTAAGACCAGCGATGTGGTGTACAAGATGCAGAGAGCCATCGATACAAGCGGCGAGCAACCGTGTACCGCACGGCGAACGGCGGGCGGCTCGCGCGGGCGCCGGTAGCCATACACGCGTATCGCCTGATCGCGCGGTCGACAGCTTTGTCGCGCGCGATTTCGATGACCAAGGTACGTCGTACCGCGCCCACTCTAAGCTGACGCCGTTCTAGTACATATTAAAGTGTAACTTGACAATTGTGATCAGACCAGACTGCTTTGCTAATTCGTATTATGAACACCATAAACCAGCCAGTCAGTGACACGTCACAATTGACAGACTTTTGGCCGTATTTTGGCTGGCTATTTCAATTTACGAGCTTCTTATTTATTGAAGGAGAATTAGGTTTGATTTGTGTATGTCATAATACGAAAAAGAACATTTACGGTCGATAGTTTAAATTAGAATTTTTTATTTATTTTATTTTTCATTAATTTTTTGAAATAGTTATACAGGTATTATTCTAAAATAATGTGTTGTTCTCAAAAAATGGATGGCTTTGTTAACATTATACAGTATTGTTTAATTTTGTTTCCTTCATAATATGTTCTAATTATACAATATTGCGAAATAAATCTTGTCGCGTAGTCAGTTTGTCATGTTGAAACATGTTCTACCTACATTAGTACACTTTATTATTTAACAAAGTATAAAAGTACCCACTTCAATATATATGACACTTCTCTTGTTTCATTTATGCAATTTTAGTGGCTGTCAAATTACTATTTAAGTGTGTAATTATGTATTGTTATTGTTATAGCTTGCCTTAAATAAATAATATACACACAGTATGCAGTTTCTAAAATTAGATGATATAATAAAACTTACAATTAAAAGTTTTAGCTTGAAACACATTGTCCTAAGTACGCTGAAAGATAATTTATTGTGAGCACTATAAAATATACAATATGGAAAATTATCTGAGCAGTTCAGTAATAGGTAAAAAATGTGTTCTATATTTCCTTGATTTTTTTGAGTCCCATATTTCTTTATATCTTCTATTGCCTATATAACGGATTGCGTTCTGAAGAACTATGCGATATTATGTCTACAGTCGCCTTTCATCATTACACCGCTCGTCATGGGTAGGGAATCCATTCTCACATCTTAAAACCAGAATGGTCATGCACATGCAGATTCCGAGGAGTTTCCTTTAGCAAACACTCTGGTTGTGGAATGATCTTCTTGTCGAAGTTTTCCCTAGAGACTTCAGCATGGAGTTCATCATAAAGGGTAATTGTAAAATAAGGTTTCTTAAAGGCCGGCAACTCGCGCGTTACGTTTCTGGTGTTATAGGCGACCATAGCCTATGGTAACCCCATTTGCTATTAGATGGGCTGTATGTTTGTTTACCACCATAGAAGTATAAGAAAATATTTAAATTATGTATTGTTAGATATATGCATAAAAAAACAGTTAAAAATGAAAATGAAAAAAGTTAAACTAACCTGTTGACATGTGATTTGTTCAATAATATGAACAATATTGTTCTGTTTCTGTGTAAGGTCTGCTGACAATGTTTCATTCTCAAGTTGATGGTATGCTTTCAAATATATCTGATCACTGTAAACAATAGGTTAAAAATATACAAATTGGTCATAAAAATATTAAACAGCTGTTTCATTTTATATTACTATATTAGTAAGATTACAAAGGTACATAAAAGTAATTAAATGGTAGTATAAACATACTTTATAACGTATGCTTCTTCAAAGGAAGTGTGACTCTAAAATACAGATTTTTGTGAGATATCAGTTGTAAAATAACCACACACATAACATAAATCTAATTTTAGTTGCACTAACTATAGTTTCTCAATCACAAAATGCACAATCACAAGGTCGTATGTGTATATAAATGCACTTTTGGGGGGCTTGATAAATTGTTTTTTAAATTATGTTGGATTAATATTTGTTGTTCATCATAATACCAGCTGTTATTTATTTGTTTATTCTTTATTGCACAATAAAACTTTGTACAAGTGGCGTGCTTAATGGCTTAATGCCATGTTATTTATCCATTGCTGAACATAGATCTCCCCCATAGACTGCTATAAGGAACGATCTTGAACCACCAGCCTCCACTGATTCCCTGGATTTGGGGGGAAAGGGATTGTTAGTAATGGAGACTGAGAATCCTATGGGTAGCAATATACCCAACCAGGTCAACCTCTTTGCGGTTCTCCCTGGAAACTATCAATAATATTTTCAATAACAATGATATTTTCTTTATCCAAAAGTAAATGCAAGTATCCAATTATTAAATTTATGAATGTTTGTTTATATTGCAATACATTATGGAAATTTGGTAGCTGAAACAGGGCGGGTCATATGACACAATAATTATTTACCTTTCTATGTGGTATAAATGTAAATTAGCGTGGTCCTCCACCACAGGGCTCCAGGGTGCTGGCTCCGCATTAGCTGTACTCCACACCAGCACACGCACTCCATTTCCTGCTTCACACCACGACACATGCCTTTCAGTTCGACGAGAACCTCCACCCAACTCTATATTCTAACAAAAAAAAAATGCATATTTATGTGGAGCAATCTTAATTATTTGTAAAAAGAATTGTGAGAATCCTGAAAAAAAAAATGCCTCTGTATATATCAAATTAAATTATTCATATATATTACATTGCAATACCTATAATATATAACACAACACATTACACTCCTTTCTTTAGTAGTTGGGTAAAAATAATAGATTGATTATACAGTTTAACCCCTATATTATATTATCACCCCTATACTATATTAATATATCAGTTAAGTATGAAATAAATTTATTTTAGCTATTAAATATATTTGCATTTTTTGAAATTTTTTTTTATTGTATGGGGAAATGGAAAAAAGTATGATTATAGGATACCTGTATGTGTGGGTCTCTATCTGATATGCGAATAGGAAGACTATTCACTTGACTCTTCCCAAATGTAACTAAAGTTGCTATTCTGTCAGCATGTGTGAACATTAGATGAGAACTGCATAGTACAACTGTAATAGAAAAATATATTTTTTTATACAACATTTCATATGTTGCATAAATAAAAGATATAAAAAATTCTTAGTAAAAAAAGGGCGATTTATAAGGTCAATCAAATTAAAAATTTTGTTTTACAGTTTGAATTTACTTTTGTATGCAATATGAATAATAAAGAAGACAACAACCATCCTGATGAAAAGTGGTAAAAGTACTTTACAGGCATGAACAGGTCAGAATATTTTGTACAGAAGCTCATGGTAATACTCATGTGTTGCCATTCTTGAGGAGTAAGATATTGTATCTATGTATTATGTGATTTCACTGTCTTAACTGAATTATTGTTTTATAAAAAATTCTTTAAATAAAATTTTAGTCAGCAAGTAGCCATTTGTTTTTAGACATTTGTTTTATTAAGGCTTTTGCTCCTTGTCAAATAATAATATTAATAATTCTAAACTTTATGATAACTTCAACATACCACCAGTAACAGTCTGTCCAGCCAATTTCCCAACGCAATATCTATCAAACAGTATTTGGGTTATATCAAGACTGTTTGGTTTAACAGTGAGGTAGGCAATCGCTCCTGAGGAAAACACTATAGTGATGAGTGTCTCGTTTGTCCATTCGCACAGGACAATGCCACGTTCCCGTATTTTTGATTCAAGTTGACGAATTTGACGCGAATGCGGTGCTCTCCAATGTCCACCACGGCGCTCGTAATAATTCCTTTTCGCGGCATCGTACACTGTCTCTTCCAACCTTTTCTTTGTTTCATATCTTTAAAAAATAAATATAAGATAAATATTTTAAAAAAAGCTTTGGAGATTGGCTGTAGAAAAGTTATAAAAGTTACCATGACTTACTTATAACTTTTAAAGTCAGTGTTTTTCAGATTTAAACTGTCGTCACATGTTAGAAATTTTATATGGTAATTAAGCATTATTTCTGCTAAATTCTATCCTTAAACATTTTAAAATATATTTAATTAAAATAAACTTAAAATATTGTACACAATCAAATATAAGAGAAACTGTGTGCAGTTCAACAAGGGTTGCCAGCTGACATCCTATTTTAACCAAGGGGCATTTTTTTCCCGTTCGCTTTTAACAAAACCACAAATTTGTGATGGTTTTCTACAATATCTTACTACAACCAATACTCGATTCGTACAATTTATTATTAACTTAATGTTGTTATTGTCACATTTATTGATGTATTCTATTGAATTTATATATTGATATACATATTTTATAAATATTAAAACTGTAAAAGTAATATATTCAATTTATCTAAACTTGTTTTTATTTTTTTTAATTCACCAATTCCATTTTTATAAAATTTCGTTGTGCTAAATTTTTAGTCCAAAATTGTGAAAAAATACTTAATGTTGCAACACTGCCCAACAAAATACCTACAAAGCAAATACGGAAGGAACTGTCAATTTATGTTGTGTTAACAATTTTATTCATCAAGTGTCATATTGACATTGACACTAAATAAGCTGGGTGCATACAATAAGCATAGATAGTGTATCTAATCTGTAATAGTACCTCCAGAGATTTTGTCGATTTAAGAATTAAGACAAAGAGTATAATAGGAAATATATTATTTTTGTCTTTTGTGCCTATGAATGCAAATAGTTATTTTTTTTTTAAGAAAATATGTACATTTATTAATACATGTAGCGAATAGGAATCAATTGTGCTATGCAATATTATTTTTTGACAATTAGCAATCGTTTCCGAAGTGTTCATGCGGTATTTGTTCTTAAAAGAAATCGTAAAACCCTGGAAATTCGTGAAGGTTAAGCGCCACAATGTCCTTATTGTGACTTTTAGCTTTAAGTGTAGCCTCTTAAAATTTTTAATTTAGTTGTTAATTTATTTTTCGATAGGTTTACAATAGAGACATATATAAAGTAATATTTTATATTCAGATTAGGATATAATGTACCCGTGTACTCAATTTAATTTAAATACGTTTAGTAGTTTTTGCGTGATGAGTAATAAACCTTAATCCAACCATCCTTATTCTTATAATGTTCACATTTATTAATAGGTTTTAATTTTTATCATAAGCAGACGATTAAAAAATTAATAATCTTCGTACAGATCCAAGTTAAAATGGCTCCCTATACGCCAACGTAGACAGTTGAGGTTACTTTGCAACATTTTCTTTCTTCTCACTAGTCCTTTATCACCAGAATACTTGAAATGTAGATTCAAATATCTTTGTGACTCTCATACATGCGAACTTCGTTTTAACGACTCTCTTGTTATCTCTATTCCTCTACATCGTTCTGCTTTTGTTTAAATTCCTTCACTCTTGAGGCCTCATGACTCTGGAAGGCGCTACCCATGGATAATATGATCCATGTATTCAATCAACCTTAATGTAATCAATCAAGAGTATAAAAAGAAAATGATTTTGATTTTGAAAAATGACTTTTAACGGTTGACCGTACTATGCCGGCTCACTATGTGCTTTTCCATGCTACGTTCGAAAGATCCGAGGTTATAGGATGAAGAAGACACGTATCGGGAAAGGGCATTCTACATAATTATGGCACGGTTCACGTAAGAGTTGACAAACTTATTTGTATAGTGATATTTAAATGGTCATATTTGTAAGAGTTAATCCACATTTGTTTTTTCGATTGTCTAACAGTGTCATTAGAAATCCAGCCTTCAGCATTCAGCCAATACAACATGGCTGCAAAAAAGTATTATGTTTACGAGTCCAAAAATCTACAATAAAATTCCAGATCAATACAAATGTTTAAAAACACAATTTTTTTAGGAAAAATTTAGAAAATATGTCATTGATAAATTCTTAAATGACAAATTTTAATGACATACCTAAATTTCTAACTATATAGATATTAGGTACTTTCTGTCTAAATAATATAAAATATTTGGATATTTACAAATACTACTTAATATTTTGACATTTATTTTGTAATTATTATTATTTTATATTATTATATTATTATTAACATTATAAAATTTGCAATATATTTTTTTATAAAAGTACAGTTCGTCAAAAAAAAAAAAAAAAGAAAATTGTATGCTAATATTGGCAAAATATGTTCAAACTATAACGTCATTAAAATATTTAATATGTATCTATTGCATGTTTATGCAAATAAATTTATTGTTATCTTTAGGCGGTGAAAGACACTGAGAGAGGCTACATCTCTAAATTGTAGAGGTTCTAGAATTTTGATTACCTCAGCGCCGTATACTCGTATGATACGGACAGCTCGTATCTGCAGAACATCGAGAACGAGTGGGAGATGTATTATCCGATATTATTATATATATTGATATCTTAGATTATATAGATAGTGTCTCCATACAAATGCTTTGAGAAAAGCGTGTCAACTTTTTCATACTAATTTGCGTGATGAATAGTTATTAGTGATTCCTTTATGACTTCTATATTTATTTTTGTCTTATAAATTCTGCACCTTTTTCATGTGCAAAAACTCATTATATTTATTAAATAATTAAATTTATATACGTCGAGATGCATTGTGTACATAAGTATAGAACATTCATAAAAAAACGAGTCAGCTAATTGTACAATTAGCTGACAAAACGTTGATCTGTTTTTGAGGCTCGATGCTCTATCTATATAATCTAAGATTGATATATAACGATTAATATATTGTTATGTAAACAATAATGCAGAGACGAAACTTCATTTGGTAAAGGTAATGCCAATTTTAATTAACTGTACCAAGCAACGTTGAGTAATTAAGTATAATTGAATATCTAATAAATTTCACAGTCTGTTTACTACGACACACTTTACCTATTTTGGGAAACGAAATATAACCATGATATAAGCATAAACAATAATTGTTGTGTCGGTACAATTATTATTGTATGGTTGACATGCTTCACAAATGGAATGAGATTACTTATAAAGAATTATATATTTTATAAAGACAGTTGAGGGTAGAAAATGATTTATTAATTAAAGTCAAGTTATACTTTATCATTTTAATCGAACAAGGTTAGATAAGGAATTATTATCATCTTAATTCTTATTTTACTAATATAATAAAATTCTAACTAATTGATGTTTGTACATAAAAGATGTATAAGAAAAATTTATATGAGGTGTTTTAATAAAAGCAACAGAAGTCAAAACATTCAATTTAGATTTGGGTTTGTTCGTCCGAGTGTTTGTTCCGGTATTACGAAAAAAATACTGTATCAAATTGAATGCGATGTTTGTGTTGTATTTTTCGAGATTTAAGTTAAATATGATATAGGTATGTAATATGACCTTACTTTGTATAAATGAAGTACTCGATTCGATTCCGGGTGGGGTAAATTTGGAAATACAAACTTTTTAAAGTTGTATTTGTTCCAGATATTCGTCGTTTGGTTTCTCAAATCTGATAAAGGTAAATAAAACTAAGTTAGCCTATACCTGGTGTTTCCCAACCCGTTCTAATTTCGTTTATTGTAAACGTATTAAGAACTTTTTACGTGTATCATCTATTTCGTTGACTACATTTACGAATAATTTTGTTCTTTGTTTTTGTTAGTATAAATCTATTTTCTAGCTCTTATCCTTTTCTAGCTTCCGTGTTTTTGGTTCTATATGTTGTACAACAATCTAACATAAAGTTAGCTTGAGGATAACGTAATTAATGAGATTGTGTGCCGTATATAACAACCTTAATGGGTTGATACATGAGTATTGTTACTTAATCATCTCAGTTGGATCTATTCGGAAGAGATCCTGTATTTGTATGTATGATTTTCCGTTTATATAACTGCCTACTACATTAACATAATAATAAAACAGAAGCAGAAATATAATAGAACTTTATAACATTTTAAAATTATTTGTCATAGAAATATTTATTTTTTATAACAGAAGGGGGGAATGAGTATGCGGCTCACCTGATGGTAAGTGACTATTGCCGTCCATGAGCACCCGCAACACTAGAGGTATTGCAAGTGTGCTGCCGGTCCTTAAATCAAAATCAAATACGGTATGAAAATGCCAATTTGAGACAAGCACTAGGGGCATGGTAATGGAAGACTAATTAATTAATACGTTACTAACATATTTTATATTACAACTAGCGATCCGCCCCGGCTTTACATGGGTAGAAAGACAGAAAGGTAAATTAGTATATTATATTAGCTTTAATAGGCAAAATTTCCGTAAGGATCCCTAATTTTATTGATTGATGAAAATAATATGTAGTCTATATTGCTTGCTGATAATATATATAAATTTCTATAGGTGTTGTTAAAACATTAAAATCAGTTGAGTAGTTTTTTCATTCATTCATTACAAACAAACAAACATACAAAACATTAAATCTGTTTTCTTTATAATATTAGTATAGATTTAGATAGATGATAATATTTTCGAATAGACATGCTACCGAAACTGCATGTACTGATAGCGCAGGTAGTGTTACCACCACACCACTTCGTTTTCAAACCATTAAAAATAACATTTCCATACATATAATCACATCTATATGGCTAATTATAATTTATTTTTAATAAGAAACAGTTCGAACTGTAATATGCTACTTATTTCAAAGTACTTACATATAATTATATACATTTATAAATATGAAAATCAAGGCTTAGCAATAAGAGACAAAGAATTATTGATTACCTTTTGTAAGTGCGAAGTTCTGATTTTAGGTAGGTACCTAGCTACTTTTCTAATTAAGAATTCAAATATCCTTCCCACTTACTGCCGATACTGTAACAGTATTTTTTGTTACAGATTTTGTTGTTGGCTGTTTGTATAACCGTATTGTTATTGTATAGAAATCACGGAAATAATGAAACCTTATAGTTTGTCCTCAATAGCGCTATTGGCAACTTCGAATGACTTGTTTCCATACAAATAAACAGCTTACGTCATTCGATTATAAATCTAAAAACGAACATGGTAGAGTCTATTATGAATTACTTTTCTTTAAGAAATCATTATAATCATCATCATATTAGCTTTTATCTGTTCAATAATAATAATAATTTATTTATTTATTTATAAATAGGAG